AGTGTTGTATTGTATTATTATTTTGAGTGCACACCACGACAAAGTGCACGTCAAATTTGGCGCCGTTGCCGGGGAAAGGCAATTATTTTTCTTTTTATTTTATCTCATAAAAATCAAAAACAAAAAAATAAATAAATAAATAAAATAAAATAAAATAAAAACATACTCTTCTATTTTCTGAGCTTACATGAGTTATGAGTGTATGGATACCAACATTTCATCCTTAGAGAGTCAAATTTCCTTCTTGACTTCTCTAATAAATGAATTTATCTTAAGCTCAAAAGCTCAAGATGCCAAGACATGCAACATTTGCATGTCTCACAGGCATTTTACGGATTTCTGCCCAAAGCTCCAAGATGAATACCTTGAACAAATTGATGATGTTGGTTACGAAAGGGATGTACCTCACATAAGGTATGATCCGTTCTCCAACCCTAACATGTCTACGGAGGATATGGTCCGGGCTATTGCTACCAACATGACCACCATGCAGAACAACATGGTGCAATTCCAAAATGAGACCAAGTCTAGCATTTCAAACTTGGAAATTCAAATGATTCAAATAGCCGGAGCCGTGAGTAGACTTGAAGCAAGGGATTCGGAAAAACTTCCTTCTCAAATAGAATGTGATCCTAAACAGCAAACTTTTGCAATCACATTGACAAATGAGAAGGAAATTCAAAAGGAAGAGGTAGAAGACGAAAGAGACATGGAGCTCCAGCTGGTCAAGGAAGAGGATGAACCGAGTTTCCAGGTCAAATATCTATCCTTATCATTCTTTGAGGTACCCCCATCAGTTCTAAAAACTTTGAGGGAAACTCATAAAATTGAAAAGGAGAGTGACATTTTTGAAATCCTCGGAGAAATTGAGGGATCGAAACATTTTCCATTGACCTTGTTAAACGATAATTTCTCTCCCTCACTCTCACCACATGAATCAATGAAAATCTGGGTATTTGACCCTGGAAAGATTTTCAAAGTGAAGAGTCGAAAAATTGAGCATTTCTATGGGAGTCCTAGGAGTGAACGTGTGAAGAAGATAAACTATCACGATCCAAGTTCGAATGACTGAACACAATGATAGCGTCGTGCCACGACGTTAAATGAGGCGCTTCTTGGGAGGCAACTCATGCAAGGTATGTTTTCTCATCATTTCATTTCAGTTGAGTGTGTGTAAAAAAAAAATAGCATGGGGATTGAACCTTGCCGGGTATAAAACTCAACCCGGTCGGGCCCCTTCATAAATCACAGCACCCGGCCGAATCACCCGGGCGAGGCAGTTGTGGAATAGAGGAAAAATGAACATACCCGACCGGGTAACTTCAATACACCCGGCCGGGCATGTTCATTAAAAACATTCTGGATAAGCGGGAGTTAGGCCCGACCGGGTCAACTTACCCCACCCGGCCGGGTCGTCGCGAATTCTTTCACAGACTCAGCTGGCCATCCTCTTCCTCACTTTCTCTTCTGCAAACACGAACCAAACTCCGCCAAAACACCATTTTCAACCTCCATACATTTGAATCCTCTCCATTTTTACACCAAATCCATAAAAAAAACCATCCTCTTCATCTCCTCTTCACCCTCTACACCCACCAAGACACCCACAACCCACCAAAAATCCAAATCACCCTACTCCACTAACAACAAACGCCGAAATCTCCTCAACCAAAAAGAAAGAAATGACACCAGAAAGGGGAAAGAGATTCATCCTCTTGGACATCTCGGACACAAGCACTAGGGACAGTGCTTTGATTAGCTTGGGGGGAGAATTTCATGGGAAACTCACATTCATACTCTATATTCTTGAGTTATTAAAAAAAACATAAAAAAAAAAAAGCTTGTTAAGCTGAAAACCTGAAAAGGCAACTTAAGCAAAAATAAAGCAAAAATAAGAGTGAGTTGTGAGGATTGAAACAGAAAAATGTGGGAAGCTGGGATGAAACCCCGAAAGGGCACCTAGGCAAAATGAGAGAATGAGAGAAAGTATTTCCTTTTATTTCTGCAGGATCCTAAGGGTAACGAAAAAAAATAGGTTGATAGGAAGTATGGAGTTGAAACCCCTCTTTACTATTATATTTTTGGGGATATTTTTTGTTTTGTTCTAAAAACACACGTGGATGTTGGTGTTGATACTTTTGTCATTTTAAGGACTTCTTGGGCTGGATTTGGTTTCCTCGAGACGAGTAAAGGTTCAAGTGTGGGGGTGTTTGATATGCACTAATTAGTAGTGCATAAATGTATCTTTTTATGTTTGATTTGTGTGGATTGTTTACCATTTTATTTAGTTTGTAAACATTTGTGTGGTTTTAGTTGTAATTGTATTTTAGTTCTCATTTGTAAGTTGTAAAGTAGAGTTAGGATTTATGGTGTTGGAAAGGAAGACTTTGAAGTGAAGAAAAATGATTATTGGCTGCCCAGGACAATCACCCGGTCGGGTGAGGTATTGCACCCGGTCGGGTGAGACATTGAAATGCGAAACTGCTCAGGAAATTACATCACCCGGTCGGGTGAGGTATTTCACCCGGTCGGGTCCGACTTGACCCGGAACACCAGAACGTGCCGAAGATCACCAGAACGTAGAAGATATTTGATTTTGACATGCACCCGGTCGGGTGGGCACTTTACTCGGTCGGGGTACCCGGCCCAAGGTGTTGAAAAACACCTATAAATAGCACACTTTTCCTTCACTATTTATCATCCCTTCTTCCATACTCTTTAGCTCAGTTTAGATTAGTGCCTTTCTTTATATTTTTCATCATGTTTAGTCTCCAAATGAGGAGCTAAACTCTTCCATCTTGGTTTTGCTCCTTTGAAGCTTAATGAATTTGTAAGTTGTGAGTTATTATCTTTAATCTTCTTTCTTGAATATTAATTCTTTCTTTAAATACTATTTCTATATCAATGTTGGGGAGTGTTACTAAGATGACAATTAGTTAACATCTTGACATTAGTTATAGTAATAGTTATTTCTTCCTCTACGTTAATATCGGGGAGTGTTACTAAGATGACAATTAGTTAACATCTTGATATTAACTATAGTAGGATTCATCTTCTTTAATATTCTTCCTTGAGTATTAATTAATTCCTATTCATATTTCATATTAATATTTTGAACATTACTTGAAGGATCAACTAGTTTTGTTTCATATATTAATTATTACTAGAATCAATCGGTTAATACGCTTGTTATTAATTCGGTTCTTTCAATGGTAGTAAACTTGGGTTGTTAATGCATGCTTCTCATGATTAATAAGCCAAGGGGAATTAATTATATTGATTAAACCAATAAACCGCTTGTGTTGAGGTTATCAATCTCAATCGTTTTCATCTTGATTTTATTGCTACTATCAAGTTAATATACGGCGCTTGTCCTATATTGACTCGGTAGTAAGTTTTATTAATGAACGCGTCTCGTTATTAATAACTACCCTCGATGAACTGGATGTACTCCTCGATTGAGTATTCGAGAGGAAGATAGTTAAAGATATAACCGGGATCGACGAACATTTCATTAAGTGGATAAAAGCAAAGCCAAGTCTTCTTCTCATTAATTAAACCACATAACTCGTTCATCTTCGTGTTTAATTTATTAAACCAAATCAAACTAAACCCCCCCATTTTGTTACTAGTTCTATAAAAAGAAAAGTATTCCTTTCCCTGTGGATACGAACCTTACTACGCTATATTACGTATAAGTGTTGTATTGTATTATTATTTTGAGTGCACACCACGACAAAGTGCACGTCAATAGATATTTCAATTTTTCACTGAAATGTTATATATAGAGCAATAGTGTGTTTGGATCGTTCATGTCATTTTTTTCTCTTCTACACAAATTTCAATTGCACATGTTTTACATTATTATTTCTCGTGGATCAAATTTGGCAAGTTATAAAGGATTGAGAGAGAACTATCGTTAAGTTTGAGTAACTCAATTAAGGTCTCAATGAATCATATAATTGTAATTCTATTATAAAAATATAACTGTAAAGTAATTTAGTAGTTAAAAGTTGTTGAGAAAAATATAACTTTAAAGGTACATTTTCTTTCATTTGTACTCATATTGATTATAGACTTATAGGCGATGAAAATTAAAATGTTGAGAACTCGAGAAATGGATATATTTTACGTGTTATATATACTTGAATAATCGACAGTTGAACTAATTAGAAGCAGATTACTAATCATTGAGACTATTATTCTCATTATTTCCTTTAAAATATGATAAAATATGGAGCATGATAAACATGACAAATATGGAACATGATATTTAATAATCCGATGAAAGATTATATTTGTCAAATAAATGTTAGATTCAATTGCCTTAACATTATTTTACTATATCCCCCGATGAATTACATACCAAATTAAAATTAGTATCTTGATTAAATTGCAAATAACTTAAGTGCACTTGACTTTAAACTGCAGTATAACAATTATTGCTTAAATGAAGGTAATCATAGTTAACCACTTCTTATTTAAGTATAGAGGGTGGAACAAAGTGATTTCATTTGGATGAAACTCAAATGAGCTTTATATAATATTGAACCAATTAGAGATCAAATTTCGATTAAAATGCATTTATTTGATTATCCATTCTCTTTAGATACTGTGAAGCAACACTCACATCTTCAAATATTTTTCCTACGTTGTAAAATTAAACTAAACATAATACTACGTAACATATAATACCTCCGTCCCTTAAAATTTTGCCAAAGTTGACCGACACGGAGAATAATAATGTAAAAACTGTATGGTTGAGGTTTGTGCAGAAAAGAGAGAAATAACAGGTACCACAAAATAATTGATTAAAAAGGAAAGTGACAAAATTTTTTGGGACGTCCCAAAAAGGAAAAATGACAAAGTTTTAAGGACGGAGGAAATATCCTTTATCTTGTGCACAACACGGGTAAAAATAGTAGTTCAAAGATAATTTCTATTCTTTAAAGTTATTTTTCGAAAATCAATAACACGGCCTAAATATAAAAGTACGGCTAATAAATACTGCCCGAACGTATATGGAGTAATAATATACGCATTATTATGATTATTACGTAACGCCAGATCAAAGTTTTAATTTTCATGAACTCTGTTGTGCTTAGGGCGGGAAGCTAGAAGAAATTGCCTCTTTCTCAACTACGGCGTATGACGTTTCTCTCTCCCCTTGTTTTTAAAATTGGTGTACATATTACTCCGTACTACATAAACACGGCTTTCTCTCTCTAGGGCTTGTAGTTATGATTTTGAAAGTTTAAACCCCGAAACTTGATTCCCAACTGAAAGGAGGCATAGCTGAAAGAAGGAGATGACGCTGCAGAAAGGCTCGAAGGTTTGGGTTGAAGACAAGTGTTCCGCTTGGATTGCTGCTGAAGTGACTGAACTTATTGGCAAACAATTTCAGGTGCTTACTGAAAATGGGAAAAAAGTAAGTGGACTAGCTATTTCCCCCAGTTTAATTATTTGTCATTCCGGAACTTTCTCTCTGCTATAACTGCAGCAAACTCCAGAAGCTTGAACATGAATTACAATTTCAGGTATTGGCTTTACCGGAGAATCTGCTTCCCAGAGATGTGGAAGAAGATTACGGAGGAGTGGATGATATGACCAAGTTGACATATTTGAACGAACCTGGAGTGCTCCACAATCTTCATAGAAGATATGTTCTTAATGAAATTTATGTGAGTTGAAATGTTCATATTCTGCTATGGAATTGCTTCAACTGAAAAAAGCTTTTTATAAACACAGTCACACACACTTATCCAAGTCTTATAATTTTCTCTTTGCCATTTACATGTTTGTAGGATTTTTGGGGTATCTATTTTTATACAAAGTACATACAATTATATATTTACATGAATATCCCCCTCCCTTCTCCAATGTTAAAACTAATACGGAGTATTAAATTGAGAGAAATATGGATAGAGGAATTCTTATAAAAGCATTATGCTTGGTACGTGTTATCAAACATATCCACGGTATATATATACCTTACAAGTAGTAGAGCCTAGCCTATTATTTAGGAGAGAGACAATGGATGGCCCATGCAAGTTGCCCACATGCACAATACACACATATAATCAAAATAATGAAAAACTAAATTAATGTAGCTATATGCAATCTCAATATCCAACATTTCCAATGGAGTCAAAGACTCACTTTTTTTTGGCTTGAGAATATGACGAAATAAAGCAAAATGATTCACTAAACTGTCTGCGCTTCTTTGTCATGAAGCAACATTCAGTCCATGCAATTTTCTACGCGATTTTCATCATGAGTGATCCGGAAACTGTGCTTTAGCATAGGGGTAAGCAGCGTACATCCGCCCCCTTACCCCACCGTAGGTGGGAGCCTTTGCGGCACTGGGGTAATGTTGTTGTTGTTTGTTGTTATCCCCCCTCCATATTTTGTGTCTGCCAGATCAATTGATTGCTGGGGAAGGAGGGAATCTTATGTCTTGAGTTATTCTACTGCATTGAAGTGCTTTTAATGTTGGCCAATTCGGGTTCCTCTTTATTTGTGTGCTTAATATCATGAAAAGTCTGAATATTTCAGATTCTGTCACTCTTATGTTTCAATACTTGCAACCTTTTTCAGAGACTATGCATTTCAAGTAATACTTGTTTTTTTTGCTATGATAGACTTACACTGGAAGCATCCTAATTGCTGTAAATCCCTTTACAAAACTTCCCCATCTATATAATATGCATATGATGGAGCAATATAAAGGAGCTCCCTTCGGTGAACTTAGCCCTCATGTTTTTGCTGTGGCTGATGCATCTTACAGGTTAGTCAAGTTAAAGTGATACTTTTGGCGATTGAATAGCACCAACTATGCTTAAGATGAAGTAATTTAGGTTGGTCTGTTTAATTGTTGTGACTTAGAGCTATGATGTCTGAGGGCCAAAGCCAGTCGATATTGGTAAGTGGGGAAAGTGGAGCTGGAAAGACAGAGACAACAAAATTGATCATGCAGTATCTTACATATGTTGGTGGTCGTGCTGCTATTAATGAGCAGACAGTGGAACAACAAGTTCTTGAGGTAACATGGCTACTTCCATAGTTCAATTTCTTATCACAGTGCTAACTGTGAACAAATAAGTGTCTATGACTAACTACTGTTGCTTAAAATGCTTTCTAAACTTAATTAACTTTCACACTAATTCTAAACTTTATAGTAGTTTGTATAAATGATGTTGGTTTCCCTGTTTACTCCCCAAGGAGTGGTGCATTGAAATTATTTGCCATTTTTATTTTGTTTTAATATCACAATGATGTAGATGTTTTATCTTCTGGTTTTAGTCTAATCCGCTACTGGAGGCCTTTGGAAATGCTCGGACGGTTAGAAATGACAATTCAAGGTATTTTTGGTCAAGTTTACGTTGAATTTTGTTTTGTGACTTGAGATGTGGTACTCATCTCTGTACTTGTTTTCAGTATAGTAATTCCAAGCTCTAATAAGTAATATCCTTAGGGGTTTATGTCATGCATGTTCAACAGGTTTAAAAACTCTTGGTTATGAAGCCATAATGTCTAGTAATTACTGCAAAAGTGCCTCCAGTCTCCACCCCATGTAAAAGGCTTCAATTATTGACTATTTTTGGGGAAGATAGATCATAGATGCCAGTTCAAGTTGTCTTTATTTTTGTTTCCTGTTTAAAAACTTGGCACCTATATGGTATTTTAATAAATTCATATAACATGCAGCGTAGTTAAATCCAAATATAATATCAATGATAATAATAATTTAAAGACGTACTGCCTCCGTCCCGGTGTTTCTCATTGAAAAATTACACAACTATGTAGACAATAATTAAGTAAGATTATTCGAGTATATTTTGAGAAGTAATTTTGATGGGTTTATAATATAATGAGGCCATTGATGATAACTATGATGTTATAGTGATAAGAACAGAAAAATAAAAATTAACGTGGTGAACCGTTGCCTAGATAATCAACGATAAATAAATACCGTTCCCTAGAGCCAAAAGGCTAAACCAACTTTTATTCCAAGATCACCATGAATGAATCCTAACAAGGGGTTTAAATACCCATCTACTAATTCTTAAACTAGAAAACAGAATCCTAGAAATCCTAATCAACTCCAACTAGGAAACAAAATAATAAAGATCCTAATCAACTCCAACTAGGAAACAGAATAATAAAGATCCTAATCAACTTTAAATAGGAAACAAATAATAGAGATCCTAATTAATTTCTTATAGGAAACAAATCAAGAAAATTAAAAATAATAAATATTAATTAAGCATCCCGCAACCAGCCCACGAAGGTGGGCTCAAGCCCGTCCCCGCCTTCAGTAAACTCACGGAGTCTTCTGCCCCTGTTCTTCCAAGCCCAGATTCTGCTTCATATCAATTCCGCCCCCCTTCGAAAAAACCTTGTCCTCAAGGTTGAAATCCGGAAACCGGCTGACATTTGTCCCCGAGGGATGCCACGTATCTTCAGGAAAAATTGAGATGTACTCCTCCACAGCTTGGCTCCGGGCAGCCGTTCAAAGCAATTGCCCTGAAACTGTGAGTCATAACGAGCCATCGCCTATGTAAGCTCATCCCATGACATGCCCGACTTTCGTATCCGTATCCAGGTCAACCGGTATAGGGCTGACTCTTCCATCACAACTACAGTGGCCGCCGCCTTCTTTCCCGGCAGAGCACAATTCAATTCGAACCGTTTCTCAGCCTTATCAACCCGGCTGGTCAGTTCTACTTCGTTAAACGAGGGCAACGTCGTAAGGAAGGAGCTGCATAGTCCAATTCCGAACAAGGATGCTGCTGCTGCTGCCGTGTCGAGTGAAGTCACCACCGTTGAATGCTCCGCCGCTGGCGGTGCGAGAGTCTTTTTGAGTGCAGCCAATGAGGGAGTGACTTTGTGCGGCTGTCCGTCGCCGCTGTGCACAGATACGTTGGGGCTGCCAACTGTGTCCGAGCTTGTTTCCGTCGTGACTGGTGGAACGAGTGCCTTGGTAAGCGCTGCCAGGGATGCGGCGATCTCTCCCAGACGCATGTTGTGCTCCTCTAGGGGTTGAGTTTGATTGGCCACCATCTCTGACAAACGTTCACTGATAGATCTCGTCATTTTGGTGGGACGGGATCCGGCAGGTCAGACCAATTGATAAGAACAGAAAAATAAAAATCAACAGGGTGTACCGTTGCCTAGATAATCAACGATAAATAAATACCGTTGCCCAGAGCCAAAAGGCTAAACCAACTTTTATTCCAAGATCACCATGAATGAATCCTAACAAGGGTTTAAATACCCATCTACTAATTCTTAAACTAGGAAACAAAATCCTAGAAATCCTAATCAACTCCAACTAGGAAACAAAATAATAAAGATCCTAATCAACTCCAACTAGGAAACAGAATAATAAAGATCCTAATCAACTTTAAATAGGAAACAAATAATAGAGATCCTAATTAACTCCTAATAAGAAACAAATCAGGAAAATTTAAAAGAATAAATATTAATTAAGCATCCCGCAACCAGCCCACGAAGGTGGGCTCAAGCCCGTCCCCGCCTTCAGTAAACTCACGGAGGCTTCTGCCCCTGTTCTTCCAAGCCCAGATTCTGCTTCATATCATATAGGCATATTATCTTTAATGCTTGATGATTAAGTTCCCATTTAAGTGTGCTAATTATTTCCTAAAATTGAAATGAGAACCTTTAGCTGGGACATCCAAAAAAGGCAGATGAGAAGCTAAAACTGGGACAGAGGGAGTACTTTTTTGTACTTTCCTTCTCCTGACCTGCCCCTTCCTCTTTCATTTGGTGATAAACCGACAATCTCCAACTCATCTCTACACCGGATAGGTAACTTCAATTAAATTGGAGGGTGTAACAATGTAGAGTACTAGAGTGTCAAGTTTTAACCATCCTTTTGTGTCTGAGTGAAAGGGGAGGGGAATATGGTGGTTGATTCTTTATGCTCTTTCGATGCAATAAACTTTCATCTTTTTTAAAATAAAGCTATTCTGTTATTGGCAAATGTTTTTTGTAATAAATTCCAGTTCCTTTATTTTCTACAGCCGCTTTGGAAAGTTTGTTGAGATCCAATTCGATGCAAGTGGTAGAATATCGGGAGCTGCAATTAGAACGTACCTTCTGGAGCGATCTCGTGTCGTCCAGATTACAGAATCCGAGAGAAATTATCACTGCTTTTATCAGTTGTGTGCATCTGGGAAGGTACTTTCTACATCTATCTGATTAGTGGTTTGCAGTTAATCACAACTTTTGTCATTTGAGTTTTGTTGGACCTTAGTTCGGTTGTTGCCTGTCTAGTTTTTCAAGCCTTTGTGACACAATTTGTGGCATTTGAAGCGCCTCTTTTAATGACCAGCCAGATATTATTGAACTGCAACTGATATGGAATAATGATTTTGTGCTTACCTTCATTGTATTTGTTCTATATGCTATTTAAGACTACGTACTACCATATATGGTATTTAGGATTTACACATATCATTCTATCACCACAATTAAATGTTTCTTCAGGATGCCGAGAAGTACAAATTGAGCCATCCTAGCCATTTTCACTACTTGAATCAGAGTAAGACCTATGACTTGGATGGGGTCAGCAATGCAGAGGAATATGTGAAGACTCGTAGGGCAATGGATATCGTTGGAATCAGTAATGAGGAGCAGGTTCTAAAATTGTAGATGTCAAAGTTATAAGTTTAGCATGTATTGTATATTATTAGTTTGATGAAGTTTTTTATTCATCAGGAAGCAATATTTCGGACATTAGCGGCAATTTTACATCTTGGAAATATAGAGTTTTCCCCAGGAAAAGAGCATGACTCATCAGCTATAAATGACCAGAAGTCTAACTTTCATCTGGAGATGGCCGCAAATCTACTTATGTAGGCTTCTTTCTAAAATTCCTTATATTATTTTGTCATTTTCCTTTCATTCATGATTTCACCATTTGCTTATTTGTGTTTAAAGTGTGTTCTTGTGCCAATTTCTGAGTTGATAATTTATATTCTCATTGTTCTCTAATTCTTTCCTTATCTTCTGATTTTAACCAAATATGTTCTTACTGAAGAACATTATTAGGCAAGTAGGTTGGGCATTTTGAGTCATGGGACTCCTTATTGTTTATGGGAAAGTCTTTTTTTTTTTTTTAATTTATCCCGGAAGGCAAACCACTCATCGGTGGGGTAAATCCCGGGAAGCATAAACCAAGACCAATATTACAAAGAGAGGGGGACTAAACCAAGACCTCTCTAGAGAAGGCATTCCTCCTCAAAATACAGACAGAAAAACTGAGAGAATCTTTTTTTACAGGAAATTGAGGGGACCAAACCTGATCCAATTTAATTGTAACGGAAAAAAGGATAATCAAAAGAATCTGAAATAATAGCCTTAGTTTTTTTTGCTGCTGTTGTCAATTTTGTTTGCCAAAACTTCCTTGAATTCAGTCCATTTTTTTTGCTTCATCATAAATTATAAGCAGCTCGTTTGCAGCACTACTATTTTTGATGTTATCAACTTGAAAAAGAAGCAACTGTAATTCATGCATTTTTCTTCTTGAAAATTGAAAAGAAACCAGTGTCTGCTTCTAAAGGGGTTGGTTAGAACTAGTAATATTTTCTAGTGGCACACATTTTCATAGTCATGGGAATATTTGTACTACTACCTCTGTATCAAAATGAAGTACATGTTTGGCTTTCAAAGAAGGACGATGAACTAGATGAAAATGTATCCCATAGAATCAGAGCATGGCAGATGAAATGGAAGAGTGCGTCGGACTTTCTATGTGGTCAAGCTATGCCGATTAAATTGAAGGGTAAGTTTACCGGATATCGATTAGGCCGGCATTACTGTATGGCGTAGAGTGTTGGACAGTGAAACAATGTCACATTCAAAAGATTTGTGTGGCTGAGATGCACATTTGCGTTGGATGTGTGGACATACTAGAAACAGCCGCTTGAGCAATGAAACAATTAGGCAAAAGGTGAGAGTAGTACCTATTGAAGAAGATGCTAGGTTCTCGATTTCGGTTGTTTTGACATGTGCGTAGAAGACTGAGTGATGCACCTATTAAATGAGTTGAGAGGTTGGGAAAAGAGGCGGGAGGAGATGGAGAGGAAAATCCAAACATACGTGGATTAGAGGGGTCAAGAATGATATGCTATTTCTTGGGTTGGATGAGAGTATGATTTTGGAAAGAGAAAAGTGGGGGGTCTGATTTTGGGGGGTAAATATACTTGTGGAGGATTGATTTCATTTTATCTTTTTGATCCTTTTTATCTTTTTCTTTTCTAACTTTCTTTCATTCTTATCTTCTTTATCTGTTTATCTTATCATTATCTTTATCATATCTGTTTTATCTTTTTTATCTTATCTAATATTTTAGCTCCGATTTCATATACCAATTTATGTTAGGTTGTTAGCTGATCCCAAATTGTTAAAAAAAATATTCTTTCCACAAAATATTCTTTTAAAAAATAGTAAATTTTTTGGTTAAATGCACGTTCATATTATAAAATAATAATACAATTGTTGAAAAATGGATATTCAAATTTCATGTGGTTTGAGTGTTTGACTTGGAATGCCAAAGCTGTGCTTTCATGTAGGGATGGAGGGGGTACTTTCCATTAATATTGCTATTGGTGTTGTTATTATGATTTGGATTCTGATTTTGATATACCGGAACTCCCACTTAGCCACATACACATGTCTTGCTCTGATTTTGTTATTTGTCTTGCTCTGGACTCCAGATCTTTGAATTCCTCAGCATTTGAAGTTTTAAAACTTATATATTTCAGAGGCATGGCTGGTGGTTACACTTATTAAGGAGCTCATCACTATAAAATACTGAATTTCACCTTTTTATGAACTAGCGTCATTCTTCTTGGCTTGAAATATAAGCCAATTAACCACTAAACCACATTATTTGGCCTATAGGAAATAGGGAGAGATGTATTATTCCTATAGTTGGATAATATATACCACTTTTTATTTTTCTTCTATTTCTGTTTATGTAGGGGCCTGCTTTTTTATGCATTGTGTTTACTACATAGAAATGTTCACAGACTGGATCTTCCATAATGGATTATTGTTATTTTACTTGTAGGTGTGATTTGAAGTTGTTGGTGACTTCGCTTTGTACTCGATCGATTCAAACTCTGGAAGGGATAATAATTAAGGCTCTTGATTGCGATGCTGCTGCTGCAGGGCGAGATGTTTTAGCCAAGACTATATATGCTCAATTATTCGATTGGTAGGCCTAGTTTTGTGCTAATGGAAAAATCATATCTAGCCCAACTATATCTTTGCCTAGCACAAAAAGCATGTATTGTGCGTGTTTGTTTCAGGCTTGTTGAGAAGATCAACAGATCTGTTGGGCAAGACCATAAATCAAGGATAAAAATTGGGGTTCTTGACATATATGGATTTGAGTGCTTTGTTCATAACAGGTATGTTCTTATCAAACACAATCAGAATGCTTTAAGAAAATCAGGTTTAGTTCAAACTTGATTTTTTCTATAAATAAGTTGAATTTCAAATAACACTGCATTTATTAACATTTTTTTATTTTGAATTTGAATATGACTTCTAGTTTTGAAATGGAAAATGAGAACAGGATGATGACTGAATATACAAATTCAAAGTTGTAACTAAACGGACACGTAGTATTCACACCTATTTTGTAAAAACCAAAATTTTAATGTATGTATGTATTTATGTAATCTTTACTCTTGAATATATAATAATGCATCTTTAAGATTTCACTCTGAGAAGGGGCTTGGATTGTGCTCAATGTACTGTTTGATTTCTTGAAACATTGTAAAACAGCTTTGAACAGTTCTGCATCAACTTCGCAAATGAAAAGCTTCAACAACACTTCAATGAGGTCTGTCATTGACCGCCTGTGTTAGCGCTTTTTGTTCTTGTTAATGTGGGAGTACTTAGTGACATGTTAATTTCAATATGCTTCGTTAAAATTGGTTAATTTCAATATGCTTCGTTCTGTCTGATCTAGTTTTCTCTTTTACTGGAATTTCCAGCATGTATTCAAGATGGAGCAGGAGGAATATCAGAAAGAAGAAATTAATTGGAGCTACATTGAATTTATAGACAACCAAGATGTATTGGATCTCATAGAGAAGGTTTATTTGAACTCTAGTTTTAAATTGTTTGGTGAATGACATGTTCAACTCTGCGATGTTTTTTTTTTAATTAGTGGACCTTGTTAATATATTTCCATCATTTGCAATGGAGTCAAAGACTCACCATTTTTTGGCTTGAGAATATGATGGAATAAAGCAAAATGGCTCGCTAAACTGTTTGTGCTTCATTGTTATGAAGCAACACTCAGTCCATGCAATTTTAGACGCAATTTTCACTCTGGGTCATCCAGAAACAGTATCTCCGTGCTTTAGTACAGGGGTAAGACCGCGTGCATCTGACCCCCCTTTCCTACCATAGGTGGGAGCCTTTGCGGCACTGGGGTAATGATGATGATGATGATGAGTGGAACTCGTTAATATATTCTCTCACGTGTGGCAATTTCATTGGCTTCTAATTGAAAAATATCGATGATAAATTAGTTTCTTATCATGTTCATGCAAGTCTCTGTTTTGCTATACACAGATTCCATCCCATTTCAAAGACAATTTGAAAAGTTTACGTTGTACGTAGTATAACATAATACAACCTGCGTTTATAACATAACAAACTCTTGCGTGAGTGTGTGTAATGAGCTGCTTTCATGAATTTGTAATTACCAAACTAATAACCGAGCATAAGGTTTTTGGTTTCCTACTCAGCAACTTTACCATCCCAGTAATTTGTAATGGTCTTCATGGCAACTGTATATAATAAAACATAGGCGATGTAGTGGTCGTTTTACTCATCCTAAGCTGTATGTTCTTTTTGTAGAAGCCACTCGGCATAATTGCTTTACTGGATGAAGCTTGGTACACCTCAAGTTCTTCTCTCTATACTGTGCATGTTTGTTGTAGTTTCTTTTCTTGCATATCCTTATTCTCACTTTTGTATATATGCAGCATGTTTCCTAAATCAACACATCAGACATTTTCAAACAAGCTATTCCAAAATTTCCGTGGCCATACTCGACTTGAAAGAGCGAAGTTTTCTGAAACAGATTTCACTCTCTCTCATTATGCTGGCAAGGCAAGTTGCAATCAACTAGTAATTAAGAGATCTTGTTTTCTGTCAGAGTTTATTCATTTTCTCAATGTGTCTTTTGCAGGTTACATATAAGACTGAGACATTCTTAGATAAAAATCGTGATTACATTGTTGTAGAGCATCGCAATTTATTATATTCTTCAAAGTGCCCATTTGTTGCTGGTCTCTTCCCTCCATTGGGAGAAGAATCTTCAAGATCTTCCTACAAGTTTTCATCTGTGGCTTCTCGGTTTAAGGTATATAAAGCATATTACGAAACTGGTCCCTTAAACTGGTCCATTAGATAAAATATGATAAAAAAGATAAAAAAGATAATATAAAATAGAGATAAGATATACTCCACCCGTCCCTTAAACTTCTTCCCACTTAACATTTTGGGATGTCCTAAAAAATTCTTCCCATTTCCCTTTTTGGAAAGTTTTGTGTGGCTAACATTCATTTACCTTTTTCTTACTCAATCACAACCATACATTTCCATTGTATTCCCACTTTTTAAAACTCCGATCCAAATCAAACCGGGAAGAATTTTATGGGACAGAGAAAATACATAAAATGATAAAATAAAAAGGATAAAAAGAATGTATTTATAAATAAAAAAGATAAAAAGGATAAAAACATAAGAAAGAAAAAGAAGATAAGGAAAGAAAAAAGATGATAAGAGATCAATCCGCCACATGGATACCCGACCTCTACTTTGCTCTCTCCAAAGTTATACCCTCATCCAATCCAAGAAGAAGCATATCACTCCTAACTCATCTAATTCACGTTTGTTTATGTCTTCCTCTCCCTCTCCTCCTATGAACTCGTCTAACAGGTGCATCGTTCGGTCTTCTACGCACATGACAAAACCAACGCAATCGAGACTACCGCATTTTATCTTCAATATGTGCTACTCCCACCTTTTTTCTGATTGTCTCATTTCTCAAGCAGTTTTTTTCTAGTATGTCCACACATCGAACGTGTCATGTACATCTCTGCGACACTCATCTTTTGAATGTTACATTGTTTCACCGCCCAACACTCTATGTCATACAATAATGCAGACCTAACTGTTGTCCAATAAAATTTACCCTTTAGGCTAATGTGCATACCTCGATCACATTGAAATCCTGACGCACTCTTCTATTAGATACATCGCCATCTAGAGAAATTCCACTGTTACCACTGCTTCTACCTCCATCAAACTTGCACTCCATGTACTCAGACTTGTTTGACTCAGTCTGAAACTTTTGTCTTCCAATTTTTGTCTCCATACTTCCAACTTTGCCTTAACACCCAATTGCGTCTCACCAATCAACACATTGTCGGCAAACATGATGCACCACGTTATATCATCTTAAATTGAATACGTAAGTTTATCTATGACTATAAGTCTATGACTATAAGTCTATAACAAAAAAGAAAGGACTCAGAGCTGATCCTTGGTGCACTCTTATAGTAATAGGGAACTCTGCAATCCTCCCTACACTACTACAGACACCTGTAGTACAATCCTCATACCTATCCTTTTTGATTCGCTAAACTATTCACACTTCTTCGAAGCCTTTGCTCAATCACTCGCTTTCAAAGTTTCATGGTGTGACTCTTAAGGTTAATCCCTCGATAGTTAGTACATTCTTGTACATCACCCTCATTCGTATATATATATAAGAGAATGCGACTACACTCCCGCCAACTTGTTGGCATTATGTTGTTTCTCCAAATCTTGGTCCCAAAAGATTTTGGTGTCGGCTAACATGAATTAATACATGACATCGGAGTCAAGCATACCATGCACATTTCAAACATTCCACAATATAAAAATACCACATACAATATGTGTCTTATATAATAAATTAACGATAGAAATAATAATAATCATTATCATCATCATTACCCCAGTGTCACAAAGGCTCCCAACCTACAGTAGGGTAAGGAGGTCAGAGGAATTTAATATGTGCACCACATTTTTCAACAATCTAAGATGTTATTTTTCTGGGTAGATGAATTTAAATTCATAGATATAAAAAGTAATAACTACAATATAAAAAAATATAAGGTATGATAAAAAAGACAAGATAGAATAGAGATAAGAAATACATAAAAAATAATAAGATAAAAAAGATAATATATATAATTATATATAAAATAAAAAGATAAAAGGATAAAAAACATAAGAAAAATAAAGAAAATAAAGGTTAAAAAAGATGGTAAGAGATCAATGATAGAGCACTGAGAATCGATACTCAGAACAATGTAGAAATCAATAGGAATTGTAGAACAGATCGTAAGCTTTATTCAATAGTAAGAACCGAACATTAGGGATACAGTGCAAGGACGATTCGAGATGCCCAATCTCCTAGCCAAGCCAAATCCAACAAAATACTTGCCTGCTCCAATTACCTTCCATCCCTTTCTATTTATAGTATTAGCCCACTTATTAAGCTATTATAATAGGCCCAATACTCCAGATATACTAAATGGCCCATAATCCTCACATTATTTAATACTATTCTAATATTCTTATTAGTATTATTGTCTAGATTCCTATCAATACTCCCCCCCTAAACAACCACCTTGCCCTCAAGGTGGGTGATAGGAGTCAGCCATGATCTTCCACTTGCACTTCATTCTTTCACTTCTCCCTTCCCAATATTTGACTGATAGCTGGACTAGGAACTTCAATACCAATTCTTTTGATATCACAAACATTTCAGCAGGTGTTATCTTCAATATGGAACAAGAATTCCTATCTTCAAGGTGAAACTTCCACAGTTGGTAAGCTTCAAAACCAGTTTTCAAGGTTTGCTTCCCCAGCTTTACTGCACTCTCCTTTACTGTCACCCCCAACTTGGCATCAAATTGAGTGAACAGGGACTCTTCAATTGCAATATACTGTGGATCATCCTGCACCCCTGATTTTGTCAAAGCCTGCAGAATTATTTCAGTGTTGTCAAACCCAGAGCTTTATCCTGACTTCCAGCACAAGCAACACCCTTTACCTTCAAAGATTGTCCTTCACCAAACATAAAATAACCAACACCAGTGTCCTGCAGAATCTGAGTCATGGTTTTCAGTGATATCTCCATGGAGTTCAAGTATGGGTCCCCTTGAATCTGCTGATCTAACCCCTGAATCTTCCATTTTATACTTTGTTTCTGAAAGTTTATTTCCACATCACCCAAAGTAGTCAGCCACTCCATTCCAAGCACCAAGTCTGTACCTCCCAGATCCAAAACATAAAAGTGCTGATTTATTTTGGTATCTTGTAAACCTAATGTTAGATCCTCACATCTGCCATTTTTGATAATCTCCTCTCCGTTACCAATCTGAACCATATATCCAGTAATGGTGTGTAAGCTTAGTCCCAATTGATCCACCAACCTTTGTGATATAAAATTGTGGGTGGCCCCACTATCAATGAGTACTTCCACCTCTGCCTTCCCTTCAGTCCATTCTAAACTCCCTTTGACCTTGAAAGTCCTCAGAGAAGGTATACCTTCCTTACTCATAAGAGAAAGCTGCATGGATTTAAATTCCATGGTAGTTCCTTCTTCAGTTGCAATTTCCACCTCTGCACCTTCTACTTCCTCCTCATTATCAGAATCTTCCACCAGTATGAGTTTGTAATTCTTTAATTTGCAGGTATGTTCTTTGCTCCATTTTTCTCCACACTTAAAACAAAGTCCCTTCCTGCTCCTGTCCAGATATTCTTCCTGTGACAGTTGTGGCCCCACCCTCCTGATGTCTGAGTGATTTATTTCTGTCTCCTTTCCCTCAGGAGTAAACCAAGATGGGTTACTCTTGTTTTCTGCAGCATTCTTCCCACTTGTACTGGGCCATGAATTACCAGATTTAGACTTGTATCCTTCTCCCCAAACTGCCGGTTTATAAGTGATAGGTCCCTTATCTCTCCCAGCCACTTTCTCTTCACCTTTACCCTTCAGATATATAGCCTCATTTCTACTTTCAATCAGTAGAGCTATGTCCATAATCTCATTCAATGAACTGGAGTTATGCAGCTTAAGTTCAGCTTTGATTTCAGTCTTTAAGCCATTCAGGAAGATTCCTCTCAAAATCTCCATATCAACATTAATTTGAGGAGCTATCACCATTCCAAATTCATCTCTGAATTCCTGCACACTTCCAGTCTGTTTCAAGCTTAGCATAGGCCCATATGGATTCTGAATTAGGTCTGGCTGAAATCTGCGTATGATAGCATTCTTCAAATTCTCCCAATTCTTCCTTTCAGTTTGGTGCTCCCACCAAATGAACCAGTTTAGAGCTCGGTCCTCCATTGCGACAACTGCAGCTTCCACCTGGTCTTCTTCACTAATCTGCTTTAGGCGGAAATACCTCTCCATTCGCACAACCAAGTTATATGCCCCATCCCCATTAAATACAGGTAAATCAAGTTTTCTACCCGTATGTACTGGAAATCGATGGTTATCCTCAGGTCTTCTGTGATACAAGTGATGCGGATTACCCCCCGATGTCGTAGGTGTGAGGTGACGAGGTTGCGATCACGATCGCTCTCTGGACCTGAGCTGCTCACTCAACGCGGCGATAGAAGCCGCCGTGTTCGTCGACAAGTACCTCCTGTAGTTTCTGATCCATCGCATCCATGCGCATCTCCATGTTGGCTCTGGTTCTAACCATCCACCACAGAACAAGAGTTTATCTGAAGTCGCACTCCAATTCCGATCTCCAGGAGCAGTGATGCTCTGATACCAATGATAGAGCACTGATAATTGATACTCAAAACAATATAGAAATCAATAGGATTTGTAGAAGAACAGATCGTAAGCTTTATTCCATAGTAAGAACCGAACATTAGGGATACAGTGCAAGGACGATTCGAGATGCCCAATCTCCTAGCCAAGCCAAATCCAACAAAATACTTGCCTGCCCCAATTGCCTTCCATCCCTTTCTATTTATAGTACTAGCCCACTTATTAAGCTATCATAATAGGCCCAATATTCCAGATATACTGAATGGCCCATAATCCTCACTTATACATTATTTAATACTATTCTAATATTCTTATTAGTATTATTGTCTAGATTCCTATCAATCAATCCGCCACACGAATACCCACCTTCCACTTTGGTATTTCCAAAGCCATATTTTCATTCAATCGAATAAGAAGCATATCATTCCGGACTCCTATAATCCACCTCTATTTGGGTCTTCATCTCCCTCTCCTCCCCGCCTCTTCTCCACACCTCTCAACTAGTCTAACAAGTGCATCATTCGGTCTTCTACGCACATGACCAAACCACCGCAATCGAAACTCTCGCATCCTATCTTCAATACCTTAGATGAATATGGGGAAAAATTATTAAGAGAACTTAACATCTAAAAACCTCAAATACAGAGGTTCTCCAAAATTTGTTCATTTGAGGTTCTCTTAGGTAAAGCTAGGTTCCTCTTAAAACACAAATTCTTGTCATAAAATAGTAAACAAATGAGGTAAACATTGAATCAGACATAGAATCACTCGAATCAAACATACCATAATAAGAAAATATCATCAAACAGCTAAGTTTGTTGCTTTTCTCTTATGGTGTGTTTGTTAAGTTCAATGAAGAGGGGAAGAGGGGTGAGAATGTAGATAATACTACCCCCCATAAAACCCCCGAATTGGAGGGATAAATAATGAAAGGAATGGCAGGGGAAACTTAAACGCTTTCCCCTCTCAAATGTGTCAACTAAATGAGAGGAGTGCAGAACTAATCATCCCCTTACCTCTCCTTTACAGACCTCAAAGTGGATATTTCATTTGTATTTTTTGTTGTCAAATGCAACTTGTATTTATCTGATTATTTTTTTGTCTAAAGCAACAACTTCAAGCTCTTATGGAAACACTCAGTTCAACAGAACCTCATTACATTCGTTGTGTCAAGCCAAACTCACTAAATCGTGCCCAGAAGTTTGAAAAGAAAAGCATTTTACATCAACTCCGTTGTGGGGTAAGTATGTTATTGCTGTACGAATAAATTTTTCCTTGAAAATTTCATCTTTTATGATTAAATTACTTTAAGTTTTATTGCCTCCTTTGAACGGATAATTTCTTATGTAGGGTGTTTTGGAAGCTGTGCGTATAAGTTTGGCAGGTTATCCTACAAGGAGGACTTATCCTGAATTTGTAGACAGATTTGGAATTATTGCCCTAGAAATGTTGGATGGGTGGTAGGTCCCTGATTTTTTTCCACCCAATCATTCTCATTTTTCCGGAATATAATTTCTTTGAATATTAAATTTTGCTCACTCCTGAGTCCTGACCTTTTTCCTGATATTTAAACCAAGAAAAGTGGCTCTTATGCTAATACGAGATATAGGAAATGGATTGTATATTTGTATATCTTATTCATTCACCAAAATGACTATAAATTGTCAAATACAAGGGCTACAAGTTGATCTAACATATAAGAAAGCACGCTACAACAATATAAATATAATCAATAATATCATACCATGACTATTACATCCCTCTAATTGTAGCATGCACATTCCAAATGCTCATCATGATAAGAAAGATTTAAAATGATGCCTCGGTAAAGACTTTGTTAGGTATTTGCTAACTTAACCTGAAGGAACATGATCTATCAGAATGAATGAACTGGGGAAATTGGATTTGCGACAGTTAATAAATCAGCTTTTAGCCACTAACTCACAAATAAGAGCTGCCATAGGGTGGCAGCGGATACATGGATACAATCAGCCTAAAGAAAAATACCCTGACCTGGACTACCTAGCTTTCAGGTACCAGACCAAGCCTAATGCCGCCTCCTAATGTTCCTTCGGTGGGGTTTGCGTGAATTGTGCCAATATGTGATCGAATGGTAAGTAAGCCAACTAACCCATATGCGGAATTTCTTTTGATCTCCTAGAAATTCCTTGTCTGCTGTCGGTTGGGCTCTGACGACATGCCAAGAGGTTTTTCCCTGAGCTAAGCATTTCAAAATACAAGTCTAAGTGTACATTCCTGAACGCATAAATTTAATTTGGATTTCTAGCTACCTCAATTCCCAAGAAATACTTCAAATGATTCAATTCTTTCATGTTAAAACATTAAAATAAACAGGCTCTATGTTTTGAAATATATTTGTGAGGATGACTTATAGGAAGTATTAAAATATCAAGTATCAACACATGCAGAGTTGAAGATATTTTCTGAAGCGACTAGACAAAGCCATCATACCATTTGAGCGTGCTAGATTTTGTAGTAAACTAGCATCCTGGTCCATGTTTCTAGCCCATCTAAAGATTTATGTATCTTAATTACTTTTCCGGGACTATTTCCAGAGCCATGCACATGTAGTCATGTAGAACTCCTCATTAAGTACCCAATGTGCATCCATTTGGTGGAGTTTACACCTTTCTCTGTCTAGGCTGCTAGTGTTTGCGGAACAACATTTTGGCAACTTTATGTAGCAGTCTAGACAGAGAGAGGCAACTTAGCATTCCTGGGAGCATTCATAACCGAGTAATCATCAAGAGGTTGCCAGCCATGATTTTTTTTGTCTACAACTGGATCAGTGGAAACAAGCTCATTAGTTGATGCATGAAAAAATTATTTCTAAAAAAGGGATGTTTTTGCGAGAGGAAACAACTCTTATTTTTTTGGAAACTGGAAAGCAGAAAACTTGTTTACATTTTATGTTTTTCAAATTTATAAAATAGAAAACATGTTTAGACTTTAGTCCACCAGTTTCCAAATTTGAAATACTAAAAAAAACTCCTATATCTCAGTTTTTTCAGACAATTAAAATACATCTCTTTTTCATCATCATCGTCATTACCCCTGTGCCACAAAGGCTCCCACCTATGGTGGGGTAAGGGGGGGTCGGATGTACGCAGTCTTACCCCTGCACAGAGAGACTAATTCAGGAGAAAACATCTCTTTTTATGAGTTATCAATTACCCAAGGGTGACAAGTTCCTTATATGCACAATTTAGACCCTGGCACCCTGCTGTATTATTATACTTCTAATTACAGAACACTTGTTTTTATATACGTTCTAATTTCTAGCACGTTCTAAGAGTATTTCTCTGATCTTTCTTTCTTCTGTTTTCATCATATGTGTTATTTATCGTTCTTCCGATTGGATTGTATACAGTTCTGATGAAAGGAGAATCACGGAGAAGATTCTACGGAAACTCAAGCTTGATAATTTTCAGGTTGTTTTTCACAATCGGCTACACACAGAGTCAACAACATTTCAATGTTTCTTGAATGGTGCTTTCTTTTTCCTGTCTGCAGTTGGGAAAGACAAAGGTGTTTCTTAGAGCTGGCCAGATTGCTGTTTTAGATTCAAGCCGTACTGGTGTCCTAGATTCTGCAGCAAAGTGTATACAACGGCGACTGAGGACTTATCTTGCTTGCAGAGACTTTGTTTTATATCGGGCTACTGCTATTGCTCTTCAATCATTTTGCAGAGGTATGATCTTTCAAGTTTTAAATGATTTCCATTAGTTCTAATCTCTCTTCTTGTGTGCATGAGGTAACAAAATGCTTACTTTAGTGCTTCTGCATTTGCAGGTTTTCTTGCTCGTCTTTTGTACACATCATTACGAGAAGCTTCTGCCAGTCTAGTCATACAAAAATATGTTAGGAGATGGATTTTAAAGCATTCCTATGTGAAATTGTATGCTACCACCTTGGTCATGCAGTCAAGCATTCGTGGTTTTATGTGTCGCCGAAAATTCTTACATCAGAAGGAAAATAAAGCTGCGTCTATAGTTCAGGTGATTTTCGTTATCTGCCTTGCCCGAGGTTTCCGCTTGAAGTTTACAGTGTGTTTTTCATAATTTTTATATGAAACATATATTTATTTGAAATGGCCATTCATTCTGTTTATCAATAAAATTTGAGTGTCTATATTCCTTGTGAAACATTAAATTACATTGGAAGTCATTGGAGAAATTTATGATAAAATCCATCTAATTGGTTCTGTGTTTGTTTATTGGTGCTTGTAATGTGTGCTTATGCGCTCCAGTTATCTATCATGTCATAGGCTAATTGGAGAATGTGCAAGGTGCGGTCTGCATTCCATAACCACCGATCCAACATTATTGCCATTCAATGTCTTTGGAGGCAAAAGTTAGCTAGGAGAGAACTCCGAAAGCTTAAACAGGTGAAATCATACCAATCAAACTCATGGTTTAGACTAGCAGTGGTCTTTTTTTTTTTTCTCCGTTTTTTTTACTGACAGACACCAAACATTTGTAGAGCGTCTCTAGTATCTTATTTGGCTTATTTGAGGCATTCATATACGATCTCATCATCATCATCATTACCACAGTGCCGCAAAGGCTCCCACCTTCTGCGGGGTAGGGGGGGTCGGATGTACGCAATCTTATCCTTGTACTAAAGCACTGAGACTGTTTCCGAATGACCCTCATATACGATGTAGTTACATAAAAGTTAAAACCATCATTCTTTAGTACTCGTACTATAGTAGAGCCTTGTGAATGAATGGGATTGATTTGTTCTTCCACCAATTGGAGACTCATTCTAAGCATACTCTTGTAATCATAATATGATGCTCTTTTTTTACGGGAGTCTGATACTACTTATTGCATGATGAAGGAACTTGTTTTATTATGAGTGTGTGCTCATGTCACCTTGCAGAGAACTAGTATAATTCTTTCGGGGCATTTAATGCTCTCATACTAAATTTATTTCATCTCACATATTACAAAAATACAAATCTACACTTGTGTCGTAGTAAACTACTATCTGTCAAAGTAGTTACAATAGAATAATGATTCAAAATGCATGTTGCTTAGCTGGTTAGGTCCAGAGATGTGCTTGTATGGCATTGCTCATACATCCATATTAGCCTTAAGATCCCTCTCAGAGTGTAATGTGAATATTTAGTTGTATTCTTCATTAGAATTTGTGCTGACTATCTATTTTTACAGGAAGCAAATGAAGCGGGTGCCTTGCGCCTAGCAAAAACCAAGCTTGAGAAGCAGTTGGAGGATGTTACATTGCGATTTCGCCTGGAGAAGAAAAGTCGGGTAATGCTCTCTTCCTAGTATACTGATATTGAACTCTAATTGCACACTAATGATTTGCAAGATTTGAATTTTGAAGTATTGCCTTTTTTTTGAACCTTGGTCCTCTCTTTTCAATGTGTGGCTGATCACCCCTGAATTGTTTATCTCATCTTGTTTATTCCTCCATTTGTTAGGCTGCATACATGGCCTATTCTCTAATAAATAAAAAGAAATCATGTTTTCATTAACCAACATTTTGTAGTGGGAGATTAGGGATAATTTCACCTGAACCTTTTATGTTTTTCCAAGTAACACTGGTGCCTTTTTGTTCTGGAAATTACACTTGGAATAACTGCCATCATAAAAAATATGTTTATTCATCTCTATCCATATAAATAGTTTATTATTTTATGCAATAAACAGTAATATGAACATTTTTATACTATACACATAAATATTAAGAGTGTGATGTTGATGTATGGACTAATGTGAATTCAAAATCAGCGATCAATGGACTTCGGGACAGATAAAACGATACAACATTAACATCCAAGCTTTAGTCCCAAAAGATTTTGAGGTTGGCTAACATGAATCGATACATTACCTTAGTGCCGCAAAGGCTCCCACCTGCGGTGGGGATAAAAAAGAATATGTACAAAATAGAAAGGATAACAGGATAAAGAATATAAGATAAAAAAGATAAAAAGATAAAAAAGATTAGAAGAGATCAATCCTAAAAAAAAAGAGAGAGATCAATCCTCCACACAAATATTCACCCTCCTATTTGATCTCTCCAAAGCTATATCCTGACCCCTCTAATCCACTAATCCATTAATCATTCCTAACTCCTCTAATCCAAGTGTGTTTGGGTCTTCCCCCCTCTCACCGCCTCTCAATTCATCTAATAGTTGCATCACTCGGTCTTCTAAAACCACCACAATAGAGACTCCCACATCTTATCTTCTATAGGTGCTACAACTATCTTTTGTTTGATTATCTCACTGATCAACTGGCCTTTTCTAGTATTCCACACATCCAACGCAACATGCTTATCTCTGCTACAATCATCTTTTGAATGTGACATTATTTCATTGCCCAACACTCTACGCCATACATTTATGCAACCTAATTATTGCCCAATAAAACTTACCTTTCAATCTAGCCAGCATACCTCGATCTCATATAAATCTTGATGCACTCTTCCTTTTCATCCACCTTGTTCTGATTCTATGGGATACATCTCTATCTAGTTCACTTTCCTTTTGAATTAGAAGCTCAAATAACAGAACATATCACTGAACGGTAATTCCATACCATCAAGGTTAGTCCCACTATTAGCACTACTTCTACCTCCAGCAAACTCACACTCCATATACTCACACTTCTTCAATGTTTGTTGCCATACTTCCAACTTTGCTTTTCCAGAATATTCACACTTCTTCGGAGTGTTTGCTCTATCACTCGCTCCCAAAATTTCATAGTGCGACTCATAAGCTTAATCCCTCAATAGTTGACACATTCTTGTACATCACCCTTATTCTTAAATAGGGGAATAATAGTACTCTTCTGCCAACTCATTGGCATTTTATTGTTCCTCCAGATCTTGTTTAAGAAACATGTTAACCTCTCAACGCCTTTGTCTCCCAAACTACTCTATGCCTCGATCGATATGACATTTGGACCCATTGCTTTCTTCTGCCCCATCTTTTCCATGGTTTCTTTAACTTTTGTCGTTTGGACCCTTCTCACAAAATCTCGATTTATCATACAATCTGGTATAGTAAAATCATACAATAGATATATCAAAGAGTTAGTACGGGATTAACAAAAAATCAAAATCGAAGAGTTAGTACGGGATTATCAGAAGTTTTTTTTTACAAGAATATTACTAAAATAAAACTTATTTACATAAATATGACTATTCATTACTACAATGTAGTGTTGTGGTAACTTAAGTTCAAAACTTGAACATGAATTACTATGATTTCATTACTACTCTAGTAACTAGTCATATTTTTGTAAACCATCTTTATTTTGGTCATATTTATGTACTTATTTCTTATTAGAAGCCTAGCAACCTCAAATTTATGGGACCAAAATCTATTAGTAGTAACCATTGAATGAGATTCTTCAGATTGAGTTGGGTTAAAAGCGTGAAACGAACCATGAATATCAAATCATTAGTAACCATAGTGATATTACTCACAAGTCCCAAGGACACATCTTAATCTTCAATAATAGCTGAATTAAACATTGACCATCAATTGACACTATAAACTATTTCAGTCATTACACATAGGAATCCTTCCTAGATATATGTCTAAGCAGGGACATGCATGAGGGGATGATTTTATTATTTGCATTGCATTGCCTTTTTTGTGTATTTTGTTTTGGGGTTATATTTTCTGTTTTATGTGCTAATGTTGTTACTCCCATATCACATCTTCAAATAATTTGCTTGGGGATTTGAAGTGTTCACCATCTTGCGATACTTGATTCTGTGCAGATCTCTTTTGAAGAAGCGAAAGTGATGGAAATATCAAAACTTAAAAAAACTGTAGAATCTTTGAGCCTTGAGCTAGATGCAGCTAGACTCGCTACAGTTAATGAGATAAACAAAAGTGCAGTGATTCAAAGGCAGCTGGAGTTATCAATGAAGGAGAAAACTGCTCTAGAAAGAGAAGAAGCTGCAATTACAGAACTGAAAAATGAAAATGCATTCTTGAAGGTAAAGGCATATCTCAATTCTTATTTGTCATGCTTCTTAGTAGTTAGTACTACATGTGCTGAACGGTTGGCAGTCTATATTTATTTGTTGATTTGTCCTTAGTCTGTACTGGCATTCCCCGTCTTTGGCATTTGGTTTCACGATACTAGAAGGCATACACTTCAATATATGTTGGATTGTTGAGAAATGGGATGCAAGCAAAAAAGAATGAGACTGAGGCAAGATTTCCATGTGAAGTTAATAGGATTAAAGGCACACATTATCAATTTAAAGTGTGAGTGGGCGTGTATGGGTGTGCATCCTTGTGTTACTTCCGTTCATTTGGAATGATACTAGCTGATATTCAGATTCTACACTTGTGGTCTGAGCCATAACTAGATATTCAGATTCTTGTGAGAAATGTAATTTCAAAAATAATATAGGATACGAAACATGGGGGAATGCGTAATTATTAAGAAATATAAGGATATATCTATAAATACTTTTTCATATGTGCACATAATTTTTCCATGTATTTTGTTTAATGACCTTATAATAAAAACATTCCACATGTTTAAGTTTTGAAATCACAACATGTTAGTACATAATTAAACATAAAATGCAATGCATTTATAGCAATTCATTGCGTTAGAAAATGTCACAATGTTGTTGCAAAGAAATACCACAAAAATTCATAGATTTTTTAAAAAGACACTATTTTCATCACATAATTTCTTAACAAAGAGAAAAATTGGAAATCCAAGGTTTCCGAAATGCTAACTATTTAGGGAAATGAGTTTCCCAATTCTTCTTAATTACGGAAACGGCCCCGAAACGGGAAATGTAAGTTTCCGAAACAGGGAAACGTGAGCAACAGAGAGTTTCCATGCTTCATAGACCACTTTTTGCTTCTTACTCTTCCAAAATATAAGGTTACCCCCAACAAACACACAGTAACTAGTGGTGGAATGGCATGAAGGATGTTTTTACTTGGAATGTAATTTGCTGGTCTGGTCTGAACTGGTCTGGTAAATGTCTGGTCTCTGTGTATTTTATAACTACAGAAGTCAAGTCTGGTTTGGTCTGTTTAAGTCTGGTTTGGTTTGTTTAAGTCTAGTCTGGTCTGATCTATTTAAGTCTGGTCTGATCTGGTCTAGGACCGAAAACAGTCCAAGCAAAAACATCCGAAGAGAGAGAGAGAGCTGGCTCAAACTGTTCTTCGGACAGGTCCTCGTCTATAATTTCAATGAAGAATAACTGCTTGCATTGATAACCACAAAACCACGGATCGTCAGTTATTACAAAGGCCCTTTTCCCGATGGATAGCAGCCTCAGCGCAAGAAATTTTCTTGAAGTATGGGATTGAGCTGCATCGGCTGGGGTTTGATTCAGCAGGGGAAGGTACTGATCCTGAACGCAGGGCAGATTGGGGACTTATCAGAAGGTCAGGCGACTGATTGGGCAAGTTGTATTTGAGCTCGACAGTCCGGGCAAGCATCATAGCTGAGTCAAGGTCTAGGGGATCCTGATACCCAACCTCCATGCGCACAACCTCACGAAGTCCAGCGGTAAAATTTTTAACCCGCAGATGGACAGAAATCCCTACTGTGCAAGCCAATATGTGTTGGAAAGTGTCAATATACAACTCGAGGTCGCCTGGATGGCGAATTTGGCAAGTTCTCCTTCTGAATGGGCGCTACTTGGCAAGTTGGCAGTCCAAAACGCTTCGTACATCTGGTGTAGAATTCGGTCCAAGAAACTAGGGAAGCGCCGGTATCCAACTGATTAGCCCAAAGCTGAGCTGTTTCAATCATATGGAATGTCGCCAGACCGACCTGAGTTTGAGCTGGGGTATGTTGTTGAATAAAGAAGCTTTCACAACGTTTGAGCCATGACAGAGGATCACTTTTCCCATCGTACTGCGGAAACTCGATCTTGGTGATCCTGTGAATCAAGGGGTCGTCGTGATCATGGCATCGAGAGTCAGCTTCTCTTCTGCGGTCTGACTGGGAAAAACTGGAGGATGTTTCCCCTGTTAAGCGTTGCACAGTTGTAGACAAAGCTTCCATGGCTGCGGGCAGGGTGAGCAGTGTCGCCATAGATGCCTGCAAATCTGCCAGTTGCTGTTCAACCGCCAATTGGTGTTGGTCGATGCTCTCAGTCATGGGTTTCAGGGAATCAGCAGCAGTAGAATCGGTCCCCATCGTCACAGAATCTGATACCAAGTTGTTAAGAGCATGGGTAAGTGACCTTGTCCAAGGTCTGGAGCGAGAGCCCTTGATCGATCGAGAAGAGAGAGGCACGGATGATTCTGACTCTATTTTGAATTAAATTGTGAGAGTTAAAATAATGAAAGCTGGACAGAACTAATTTGACTTCCGACCTTGTCAAGAAATCCCAGAGTTAATTCTCTCCAAAACTCCTTTATTAAATTAACTGAGAACCCCTTATATAGACAATAAGGGTTTCCTAAAAATAATAGGAATCTAGATTGCTATTCTAAAAGAAATATAATAGAGGTAAGAGTTTCCTAAAAATCATAGGAAGCTAGAGTGCTATTCTAAAAGAATTATAATGGAGGAAGACTATTCCAAATAGGACTAATTAATATTAAATACTAATACTTATACTATTAAAACTTTTCTGCTTGTGTTTTTTTTTCCTTGGCCACATTTTCCGTTAACTTCATCTGTTCCTATTTGGCCTCTTCTTTTGGATGTTCGACCATAAAACTGGTCGGTAACATAAACTTTAAGGGGATGAGGTGGAGGAGGAAGGGAAGATGATGGGGAAACTTCACTGGGGTATAGATTCTAGCTGGTTGATGGCATAGACTAGAAACTCATCATCAAAGAGTTCAAGAGGAGGAATTGAAGATGAACTTGTCTGAAAGAAAGACGTTTCTTCAAAAAAGATGACATCTGCAAAGATAAGATACCGTCCCAATGAAAGAGAATAACATCTATGTCCTTTTTGTAGTCGAGAATAACTTAGAAAAACACACTTGATTGATTTCGGATCAATTCTTGAAACCTAGGAACACATATTCTGGTCTCCATACAGTGGTTGTCGCCTTGTTGTCCTTGAAGTAGAAAGTTGCGCATCTCCTCCATCGTTGTGTGCATGTCGCACAACTCGTCCACTGCTGTACGCATCTCAGCCAGGTCACACTCCGGATTTTCTATTCGATTCTCCATCCTTGCTCTCGTCAAAGTCATCAACAGTTCTCGAGGCCGTGGCTTTGATACCAAATGATAGGAACCAGATTGTAGAAGGAAAATAGACGTAGATTGATAAGGAAACACTGAAACAGAAAATTGCAGATGAGGCAAGTTCGAGAGTGGCTTGATTTTCAAGGTAAAAGAGAAGGTGGGTTAAGGTACAAGGGGAGCCAAAGATAAAGTGGTGGAGGCTCGAGGGGAATCTCCAATAATCTTTTGCATAGAAAATGTTGGAGGGAGATGTATGGTCCATTGATAATGACGCACATGTGGATAGAGAAAGGTTCGGAGAAAGGGTTGCTGTTCCAAGACCATTGATAAATGTGGTCGATCCATTGATTAAAGTAACATGAGACTACTTGGCAGAAGAGGCAAAGGAAAACAAAATTTATTCATTACCTGTCATATGGTCCGCTGCGCCAGAGTCAATCATCCAATTGCGTGATGATGTAAAGCGGCATGCAATAAGATCACCCATATCAACTTGTGTAGTGGCGGATGAGGCTCTGAGAGAAAGTTGTTGTAGCCGAGCATATTCATCGGCTGAGATAGTAACAATGGGAGTAGTCGATAAGATACCATCCGGGATAACCGTATTAGCAACACGCTTAGGCGGGAGCTGTCCGGATGTCTGTGGTGGATGACCATGTAATTTCCAACAATTCTTCTTGACATGACCCTCAGCTCCATAGTGATAACATGTGCGAGAAGGATTACGAGCCTCGTCAGTAGCAACTGAATTGGTCCTTCTACCACAACTAACATCACTGACTAAGGTAGCAATATCAATCGATTTCATCGTTCTGGATTCTCCATCCTTGCACACTAGAAGGAGACATCCATGGAGATCAGAAAAATTGGGAAGGGTCCCACTAGACAATATTTGATTCTGTGATATCTCATATTGTGGTCCAAGCCCAGCCAAAACACCATGAACAAATGTCCGCTCCTCTTGTTCGTGCATACTCTTAACATTAGCAGTAATAGGGAACCAAGAGCGTTATTCTTCAAAAATCTGTTTACATTCATTTTGTAATACTGAAACAACGTCTGGTCTTTCATCTCCGTTATAGTACTGCACCAGTAACTGATGTATATAAGAAAGATCTTGTTTACTGGCATACATAGACTCCAAATATTCCCACATTTCTTTGACAGTATCACAATGAGTAGTGATACTATCTATAGAAGGATCCAGGGTATTCTGAATCTAATTGAACAACCTATCATCAGCCATCATCCATTGCTTTCCTTCATCAAGATTACTTCTTGGAGGAGTTAATTCACTTCGATGATCTCCCAGACCAAGACTATTAACATATCTAGTAGTAGGGCGTTTACACTTCCTGTAATCTTTAGCACCAGTCAATTTTATCTCGGTAATTCTGGCATTACTGACCGTAATTCTAGTCACACTCTTCTTATCATCACCCATGCTTGCAAACAACTAGGGCAAGAGTAATAACAAGAACAGGGTAAGAGAACCGGGGCTAATAGTGTCCAAAAAATCAAACCTGTGCCTGTGCTGCACAATCCAGATTCCAGATCACCACGCCTGCACCGTGCGAACAACGCCCTGTGCTGCACAAATGAAGGCTGAATCGAATCAGAGGGAGAGAGCAGAATCGAACTTCAGGAAATACTACCCGAAGAACCTGTGTGGCTGTGATACCATGTAAACTGAGTAATAGTGATTAAAGATGCAATGAAATCACAGTATATTATTCATTGGGTGTAGCCGGTATAAATACACAAGTCAGAAAATACAAAAGGAAACAAAACCTGCCATATATACACATAATATTTAGTTTACATATAAAATATATTAACTACCATATATATACACACAGAATATATTGACTACTATATATATTTATATTCTAACATAATTTAATATCTTTACAGAAATCTTTGGCTGCCTTAGAGGAAAGGAACACTACACTTGAAAGAGAACTTGTCAGTGCTAAAGAGGAGGCTAGTGGAACCCTTACAAAGTTGAAGGATGCTGAAAATGCTTGTTCACTGCTACAGAGGAACCTAAAAAGGTGCATTTGAATAGTCAGAAGGGCAGCAATTCTGTATTTGTTTTACATTCTCATATGTCACTCATTATTGACAAAACTGTACATAAGTGTCACCAAATTAGTCATCTCTCGTGTGTCCTCTAATTTAATGAGTTTTTCCTTGCTAATTGCTATTATAGTGGCTGCTTGAGGAGAATTGACAAATATTTTTAATACTTTCACATGTCTTTTCAAATTAGTTTGGAAGGCAATCTTTCAAGTTTAGAGGATGAAAATCTCGTGCTCCATCAAAAAGCGTTGTCATCTAGGAGTAATCGTGCTGGCTTTTCTAAGCCTTTTCTTGACGTAAGCAATTGCTTATTCATTTATATACCCACATATTGGTGGACATTTTTCTGTAATGGCATGCATGCAATGATGATGAAGTGATTTGCTTCGCTGCTATGCTAGTAAATTTGTAATATTTATAATTATACTTCTCTATGAGCAGAAACTCTCTGGGGCAGTTACTCTTCATTCTGCTGATCGAAAATCTATATACGTGAGATTGCCTGGCCCATTCTTTTTTGCATAAAACTGATCTCAATCTTCCATTCCTTACTGATCAAGTAATGCATATCAGGAAACACCTCCGCCAGTAAAACCTATCACTCTCTTTTCAGAAGGATTTTCTGATTCTCGCCGTGGAAAGGTCACCAATGTAAGGCAGCTCATTTGTACTTTCTGTTCTTGCGTATTCTGTACTTTATTCTTGATGTGTCATTATTAGTTGACCAAAGATGCTATAATATCTTTCTTCTCTTCTATAAAAAATTCACATACAGGAGAAGTATGAAATCCTTTCACTGTGCATCAAAGAAAAACTAGGCTTCCAAGATGGGAAACCAGTGGCTGCCTGTCTTATATTTACATGTCTTCTTCGTTGGCACGCCTTTGAGTCAGAAAAGACTCCTATTTTTGAATTCATTGTCGAGACTATCAATGGTGTTTTACAGGTTATTCACTTGTACTGATCTTTACTGTTTAGCCATTTCTCCTTATGTTCTTGTTATTGGGGTTGCACCCACTATATTTTTTAAAATAAGGTTCCTGTCCTTTCAGATTGATGATGACAATAACTCTAACTTGCCTTACTGGTTATCCAACACATCAGCACTTCTATGTCTTCTTCAAAGGAATTTACGTGCCAATGGCTTCTTCAGTGCTTCATCTCAGCGCTCTGGGGGTGGTTCTGCCTTAAATGGGAGGTTTGCTCATGTAAGCTGTATATATCTTCTGAAGAGCTTTGTTCTAAATATTCTATGTCGTCAAAATTTTTGCATTTCTGCATCACCATTTTTGTTATAATATGACTAATTATAACCATTCATGGACTGAATCAATTGATGATTTTTGAGGTTACTTTTGCATACATATTATCGTGAATCTTTGGTTATTTAACTTTCATGCCTTGTGTCACTCAACTGCTTAACTAAAATTGTAAAAAATATTGCATTTAGGCACAAGTTTATTATTTGATGCAAGATTAGAAGTCTCATTGGTGGCTTTAGTTGATTTAGAGTTTCAATTGTGATTTTTATTTTAGCTGACCACCAAACATCTAGGCAGCCTTTGCTATAACTCTCTTGTTTGGACGAAACACTCCCAGAGCCCACCATTTTTTGTAATTGTGCAATGTAATTGTCGGCGCACCTCTGCTATATTTAGCTTGAGGCGATAAAGGCATTGCTTATTCCACGCAATTGGTAAGCGTACACAATATGGACATGATGCGTACGCGATATGGCGTATGCGATGAGGCACATGCATACAAAACTTTGGAGCATCGTCTATGTGTATTATTTGAGTTCCCTTGGCAAAAAATAAACCACTTTTGTTATTAATCAAGTCCTGCTCACTCCTGCTTGCCTCCCTTCTCCATCTGCGAATCGTATAAACTGTAAAGCTTCTACTCAACTATTTAAGTCATCTTCTCCTCTGCAACTTATTTAATCTGCACTTGATCCTATGAAACACTTTTCTTGCACCTGATCTCAGTTCCAAGCCACTAGATAGTGATGATGCAATTTTTTCGTTCATCAATTAATAAACTTTAAATTTTAAAATGTCGGGAATTTTAAAATTGTTGTTTTTGTTGAAAGGTTCAGAACTATTTGGTAATATTTATTTATTTATTTATTTATTTATTTATTTATTTATTTATTTATTTATATATAACACATATATATGTATGTATGTGTGTGTGTGGGGGTATATATATATATAAAGTAGCAGACACAAAGGAGGCAAGTGGGGGCCGCTACCCCCACTTGTATAATTACTAGGTATAATTATTCCAAATTTTAATACAGATATGTATTTAGTATTTACTTCCTCCATTTTCTTTTAATTGCAACGGTCCACTTTTCATGTTTGCCAACACACAAGATTGACCATTAATATTTTTCATTCCCTATTACTCCTATGAGTAAAACAAATTAAAAATTCAACTTTTAAAATTTAAAATGAGAGAAAATTAACAATATTTTTCAAAAATTTAGTTTATTATACATTAATAAATAAAATTTAGTCAAAGTAGAGTATGTGAATAGTGCAACATTCACCAATGTTGCAACTAAAAAAAACAAAGGTCGTATAATTTTACACTACTGTCCCTCCCGTCGGGAATTCCTCGTCCGCCATATATATATATATATATATATATATATATATATATAGTGAGAAAAGTTCACCTCCAGAATTCCAGACAAGAACCGCTGTCCGGTTGCTGCGATTTGAGGTTTTTCCCGGTGGAATTTTTTGATGAGTTTTTTAGGATGTTCTTCATGAAGTGTAGATTATATCCACAAAATTTCTGCTCAAAGTTCGATCTGGAAGTCAGTTAAATAAATTATTGAAAGACATCGTGTTATATATATATATATATATATATATATATATAAAGTAATCTTCCGGTCAGGAATTTCCTGACCGGAGCGCCGTCCGGCCTCCTCTTTTTGGGGGCCTTCCCGGTAGTATTTTTTGCTCAATTTTTTTGTGTATGTTCCTCATCAAGTCTAGTTCATCCATACCAAATTTCAGCAAAAAATTCAATTGGGAAGGTCGTCAAATGATTTTTGCAAGTTAACTGGTCCGGAAAATACATATTCCGGACCAATTAACTTGCAAAAATCATTTGACGACCTTCCCGATTGAATTTTTTGCTGAAATTTGGTATGAATGAACTAGACTTGATGAGGAACATACACAAAAAAATTGAGCAAAAAATACCACCGGGAAGGCCCCCAAATGGAGGAGGCCGGACAGCCCTCCTGTCCGGAATTTCCGGACAGGAATATTTGTGTGTGTGTATATATATATATATATTTTCAATAATTTATTTAACTGACTTTCTGTTCGAGTTTGAAGCTGAAATTTTTTGGGCCTAATATACCCTTTATGAAGAATATGCTCTCAAAATTTCATCATAAAATTCCACCCGGAACTACCTCAAATGGAGGCGTTTGGACGGCGGTTCCGGTTAGGAAGTCATGATCGGAAAATTACCATATATATTACACGCTCTTGCCCAATGATGCATTATGCAGTCTGAAACAATCGCTTACACCACGCAATACACAATTTCGAACCTTGGACCCCATTGAGTTTTTTATAGAACTTTTTTTGTGGCAATTCGGTTAAACTAGCCTTTGACATTTGTTGGATTATTACATAGGATGGCATGTCACACATGGAAGCTAGATATCCGGCCATATTGTTTAAGCAACAATTAACTGCGTCTGTTGAGAAAATATTTGGATTGATACGGGATAACTTGAAGAAGGAGATTTCTCGATTGTTGGGATTGTGTATTCAGGTATTCCCCCAAACAAGCACATGGACCTTGTTGACATTCTTTCTTTAATTATTATTATTCATTACACAACAATAACAAGGCTTAGATGTTGTTGTTGTGTATTCATTATACAAAGTAAAAAGAAGCACATTTATGTTTTATTCATTTCTCTCTCTCAAAGTATGTACATTTACTTTCATATTTCCTGCATTGTGTTTTCATAAGCTTTTGCCCTTATTATTTGGATTATTTAATAACGTTTCATGTTATTGATGGCTGATCAGCTTAAGTAATCTCTATCTACTTCTTGAGATAACTTTACAAAAGAGTAAGGCATATAGTCTTTATGTTCATGAGTAAAACTTTGAATGGCGTTGCTTCAATCATTCTAAGGTTGTATAGGAAGGCTCTAGTAAAACTTCAGTTCACTAGTCCTTATGTTTGATGCGAAAATTAAAACAACACATTTTGGTTCAAATAAGAACATGATCTTATGAGAAAAATGAGAATGAATCTGGACCGTTAGATTTGCTTTATGTGAAATTCTATGTGCATTAGATGAAGCTGTAATGTGTATTAGGTGAAATTGAAACGTGCAGCACAAAAGGTACAATGTATTGGCATTATGTGAAGCTAAATTGTGCATTAAGTGAAATTGAAATGTGCACTAGATGAAACTAAAATGTGCAAAATAAAAGGTACGATGTAATGTTATTTTTGTACGTTTTATTCTGCACATTTCAGTTTCACTTAATGCACATGTGAGTTTTCTGCACATTTGGATATCATCTAATGCACATTTCGGTTTCACCAAATGCACAATTCAGTTCCACATAATTTAATCCAACGGTCCATATTCGTTCTCATTTCTCTCCTAAGATCCGTTCTTACCAGAACCGCTCCCACTTCTAGCATTCCTATTTATTTGTTTATTTATAACAGATTGTGTACTTGTTTATTTCATCACTCATGAGTATACCCTAATATAATCTTTTGTCCCCACTATGTGACTATAAGGGACCAAAATTTCAGCGAGTTCATGGCGGGAAAATGTCTAGATCACCTGGAGGTGTATTTCCGCAGGCACCAAACAATCCATGGGACAGCATCACAAAATTTCTGGATGCTTTTGTGAGACACCTGCGTGATAATCTTGTATGGAAGACTCTTCTTTTTGTAGTATTGCATATATTTGTTTTTGCTTATATGGAAAATATCATTACCATTATATTAGGGACATATCTTGCATCCAATGCATTCTCTGTGGCAGAGGACCATGGCTGTCATGGCTTCCAATAGGCAATGACTAGGCAACACATAGGTGTCCAGGCAGTGGAGATTGCATCTCAAGGCTGGCCACCTTGCCTGAAGAACGAGAGACATTGAATGGCGTTGCTTAGTTGTCTACTAAGGCATTCATGGTGACACCTGGAGTGTTTTTTTGCGAAATATATTTTGACCCAGCAATCCGACCCGTATATTCCTATGTTTATAGCCTAATCCAACCTGATAAAGAAAAACCTAAAGCCAAAGGGCGATGCAGCTTGTTATTTCCCTCCGAATGTGCCCTCTCTCTTTCTCAACCCCCCCCCCCCCCCCTCTTTTTTCCTTTTTCCTTCTTAGCTCCTACCTGCCCTTCTTTTCATTCTTTGATATATCTTTGGTTTTTTTTTTTGCTGGAAGTCACATGAATCACTTCAATGCCTTTTCCTAAAGTTTGGTAGTTTAATTTATTGGAAATGGATATTGAACTGTTTTATTTGAATTAATATGATAACTTATAATATATTATATTCAAGTATAGCTTTGCATGATGCGACTACTTGCCTCCTGGACAGTTGCCTATGTGACAATGTGGTCCATTAACGCTACACCTTGTCCAGCCGCCATTTGGAGAGAAATAGAAGGGGCCACTTGGATTCTTTCACACACTCATCCAACCCATCGCCGCCCCTATTAACTACCGCAATACATGATAATACAAATGCACTGTACAAGACTGGCAATGAGCTACTACGCATTATAGAAGGAAATCAATAATTTATGATAATTAAACCATAGCATTATTGTAATTAGCTGTTACAACCGTAAAGATACTATAATCGCTTACCTTATAGGAATGCTTAGTGATTGTATAATTAGCAGCAGTTGTAACTAGTGAATAATGGTATCAAAGCCTTAGAGCTCTTACCGGCCTCTTTCTGCCATGGCTATTGGCAATTCTTAAACTGTCCATTCAGAGGATCCCCAACAGCAAGGGGACCTAAAAATTCCACCTGCCAGCCAAATAGCTATCTTTTCCAGAGGTCCTTTTACCTTGGTCAACAACCCTTTGACTCCAGATGTCGTAGTCATACTCAGTCCAGATAGTTCCTAGAAAAACTAGAAAGTCCGAATTACCTGGTATGCCGTGACCAGGTGCTTGACCTTCTATTTCATTATTTGGCTCACATCTTGTCCAGTATATCAGTGAAGACACTACACCCCATCTGAGAACGACACTACTGGTTGACTTCAATGGAATAGTCGAGATCGCCTCCTCCATCATGCTCTTGTTTCTTCCCTTAGCTCAGTGTGTAAACCTGTGGTTGGTTTCACACGTACCTATGCTGCATTCTGCAGACTCCTGAATGCCTCTACGGGACTAGGTTGGCTTCCAAAATTCGAAACCTTTAAGATAGGTTTCGACACTCCCAACAAAGATCTTAGTTAGGAAGCAAGTATCTTCATTACCCTCATATTTGGCCTGTCTGCGTCAGGATCGTAGCTCTTCCTCAAGACAAATGAAAGCCAATGTCTTTGCTTAGACATCCTCAAATGATCAAATGACCCATCAAAGGGTTTCATAGTTGGGACAGTGAATTTCGTGGGTATCTCCACATCAGTGATTGAATAGTGAATTTTGTTGATATCTCCATGCCAGTGGTTGAATTGTTGAATAGTGATTCGGCATAACACGTTTGGCTACATCGAATGGGGGAAGGACTCCTGGTATTGTGTTTATCTTCCGCGCATTTGTCGTAGCTAGGCGGAAATAACAGTCATGGGGTCTGTTGTGTCGATTGTTGGGTTGCATGCCATTGTCATCATAGGACTGAGCATTTGCGTATGCTCTTGTCTGATGGGGGATAGGATCATGATGACTTCATGATGTCACAGATGAGAGATGTTGGATTGAGGGATGCAGGGTTTTGCTGCTGTTAGTGCATCACTTCTCATGGGAAATCTGGAACCGGAGGCTATGGAAGCGACCAACTGGTATTTCAAGTGGTCATTCTCTTTCCGAATGCAAGAGATTTTCAAGGCCATTTCTCGTTTCATCTCCTCTTTTGATGCCTCCAAATGTTTTTGGAGTTCTGCCATCATACTTGTGCCTTGGTTCTCCATGGATGGTAGAAATGCATGCTTCCCACGTACGACACCAAATTGTTTAAGCAATTTTACGTAAATTATGAATAGAATGAGCAGATATTGAGTGAATACTAAGAATTAAGAATACTTCGATGGCAAATTAGTATTTATTTCTAAAATTAGTATTTTGTGCTCAATATTACATTGAGGGCCCTTTCTATTTAAAAGAAAAGAATAAGAGCTTTTTCAAGTGTCTGTCGCTTCCACGACAAGTCTGGGATCTTTGCACCATAATAGGATCCAACTGAATTATCGATCCTTATCTTCCACGGACCAAGTCTGAACTCCTTCACTTGATTTTATCCTGAATGAGACTTGTTTCTATAACATGGATCAAGTTGTCCCGAGGATTTGTCCTCCAGGCCTTTGGTGAGTTATCAAGCGTCGTCTTCTTCCATTTCGATCGTTTTGTCCGTTTACAGACGGACTCGGTTAAACCTCTAAAAACTAGGAGACAACTTAACTATTCTATCTTATCCCCCTATTCTTACATGAACTTGGTCATAAAGGTATAAAAATGTACAAATGGACTAACTAATACTCCATTTGTCCCTTAAAACTTTGCCATCTTTCCTTTTTGGGTTGAACCAAAATTTTTTCTGCTTTTTCTTTTAATCAAATAATTTGTGGTTCCTGTTATTTTTCTCTCCTGTGCAGAAACCTCAACCACACACTTTTACTTTATTCTTCTTGGGTTGGATGAGAGTATGACTTTCGAGAGAGCAAAGTGGAGGGCGGGTATTCGTGTGGAGGAGTGATCTCGTATTATCTTTTGCCCTCATCTTTTCTTCTTCTTGTTTTTTATCCTTTTATCCTTATATATATAAACATTATTTTTATCCTTTTTTATTTTATCATTTTTAGGTATATTCATCTTTTTTTATATTATCTTTTTTCTAATAGCTTATCTTTTTTATCTTTATTTTCTCTTTTCCTTTTGGTGGTGATATCATGTATCGATTCATGTTAGCCGTCCCCAATATCTTTTGGGACTAAGGCTTGGATGTTGTATTCTCCGTGCCGGTCAAACTTGGCAAAGTTTCAAGGGACGGAGGGAGTACATTATTAAATCCCATAATTTTAGAGTTAACTCCAATTATTAATTTTCATAAATGTAGAATTAATTATTCAAAGATTTGCTCCAACAACATCCTTGTAAAAAGGAGACTGCTTGTAGGTAGGGTGATCTTTAAGTGGCTTGTGCTTTAGAATTTGATGGGGTCTTTTGTCACGTAGAAATCCTTAAAACTCTTTCGTGTGAGCCACTTCCTCTAAAATCGAGTAAATGGAAGTACAGAGTATTAATTTCTTCATTTAGGGGAATGACCCCAGAAGACATTGATGACACATTTCTTTTATTGACAGTTGTCCTAAATCGCAAGTTTTTGGTCAGATAGTATGTCCACATCGCAAGTTTCTGCTAGGATGCATGTTCATGTTGCCTGGATGTTTTTCTAATTTCTCCCCACTCATACTTTGTTAATTTAAGGTTTTTGTAATTTAATTTCCCAGCATTCCTAATTTTTTCAGGTGCCTTCATTTTTCATCCGCAAGCTCACAACTCTGGTTTTCTCCTTCATCAACTTCTCATTGTTTAACAGGTAGCTAACCTATATTGGAAATGCCTTTCTTCTCTATTCTGTTTTCTTGACATTTTATGTTTTTCTTCTGATATGGTCATTCTACCTTGAACTTGTTACTGTTAACTGTCAGTCTTTTACTCCGTCGTGAATGTTGCTCATTTTCAAATGGTGAATATGTGAAATCCGGTTTGGCTGAACTAGAGAAATGGATAGCCAATGCCCAGGAGGAGGTAATTTACCAGCTAATTACATGCTCCCCCAAAATAAAACATTGTAATTAAAAAATTCACAAATTGTAAATGCAGTTTTCTGGCACTTCTTGGCATGAGCTGAAGTACATCAGGCAGGCTGTTGGATTTCTGGTATATAACTATTTAATACTAAATGGATCCAGGGTCTCCGGTATTAAATAATCATTCCAAGCCTTTTATTGATAACTTTTTAGGTTATACACCAAAAGCGGAAAAAATCATTGGAAGAAATAATGCAGGATCTTTGCCCGGTAGGACTTGAACTTCTCAAGTGTTCTTAACATTCCCATATTTGCTGGCTGGGTTCAATTATTTATTTGAACTATATTACCTTTTACTAGGCATTGACGATAAGACAAATCTACCGGATAATCACAATGTACTGGGATGATAAATATGGGACTCAAAGTGTGTCAAATGAGGCAAGTACCTATGCTCATCTGTGCTTATCTTTTGCTTGTCATGCTTCATATTTCCGAAGGGCCTGAAAAATATTAATTTTTTTTAGGTAGTTAGTCAGATGAGAGAAATCTTAAATAAGGATTCTCAGAATTTAACGACAAACTCATTCTTGTTGGATGAGGACCCAAGGTAAGCATATTGGCATTTTTCTCAGTCATAATCCTTCATGATAAAGCTTGAATTCCCCTTGCACATTCTCAGGATCCATTAGAGTTTTGGAAAAAGCTTTTTTTCCTAATGCCATCCAAAATAAAACTTTGTTTTGGCCAAAGGTTTATTTGAAATGCTAAATGCCGGCATGCCGCTATTCTTGTGTTTAGATAGTTGGGTTTGAGGTTAACCTTTTTCCTTTTTTTAATGGTTTTAAATTTCATACAGGACTTTCAAACCATAAAAACCTCGATGCCAAACATTTTTAAACACCAGATTAGGCTTTAATAAAAACAAAATCTCTTCCTTGCAGTATTCCGTTCTCGACTGAAGACATCTATATGGCACTTCCTGAGATAGACCCTTCCTTGAACGAACTCCCAAAGTTTTTATCTGAATTTCCATCTGTGTTGCTTCAGCTGCAACAGCCAAAATGAGTACTTCACTTTACCTCTTAGAAATCCCTTCTTGTATTTGTAATATAACTTGATGAAGCAGGCATTCTCTAGACATATTGCGTTGACATTTCTCGTGCACAAAGCAGACCTGCTATGAGATTCAGGAAAGTAGAATGAAAAGAATAGTTATTTCATCCATTATGTATTTATCTTACGGAAAGTCTTCAGAACCATAGGCCTAGTTTGCAGGTTCTGCTGGTTGCCTGGTTGTACAGTGTATATGCAATTGCTCCCCTTTTTGAAACATGTACAGATGGTATGATTAGGCCAGGATGCTGATTTGCGAGTTGCGACTCATGCGCTGCTTTTTTGCTTTTGTTTTAAACCATCATTGGTCAGTAAAGGCACTTCATTTATTATGATTTTTTTGTTCGTGTACGTGAGTTTATAAGTTGTTTTAAAGCTATTAGATTAGGTAAGTGATGTTTGAAATCTTTCTTTCTTGAGGTTTCCTATATTATGCGGTGATGTGTAGCTATTGTGGTGATGTGTACTGTGTATCATAAGATGCCGAGATTAGGGTGCAAAGAGTATGATTTTGGTTACGAATTATTGAAACATCTGATTTTATTCACAGGGTGGACACGGTCTGTGGTGCCCGACACTGTTTGGGACTGGCCCGAGACTGTTTTTTTAATTCCGGTCAAAGACCCCCCTCCCCCCTTGAGCTTCGTTACTCGGTCCTAGACTCCTAGGTGCCTTTTTTCTGACTGGTGTTGGGCCTAGTCATGGACCGGGCCCGTAGTTGTGGGAGTGTAGCCCGGGACCGACCCGGGTGGTGACCTGTACCTAGGGATGGACTGGGCCGGGCCGAACCGGCCCGGAACCGGACCGGCCCGCTACTGTGCGGGCCCGGACCGGACCGGGCCCGGTTGGCCGGTTCCGGGCTTTTAGCCCGTGTTGGCGGGTCGGGCGGGCCGGTTCCGGGCCCTATTTTTGTTGAACCGGCCCGGGCGGTTCGGGCCGGGCCCGGTTCATTTTTTTTTTTTTTTTGGTTTTTTCAATTTTTTTTCTTTTCCTAGGGTAGGGCTGGGTGTTTTAGGGAGGTTTGGGGCATGGGGGTGAGGGGGGGGGGGTAGGGAGATAACAAGAAAGTAAAAAAAAAAAAAAAACATTGAACCGGGCCCGGCCCGGCCCGGCCCGGTTAGGCCCGGACCCGGTATCAACCCGGGCCGGTTCCGGGCCCATGTCACCCCGAAAAAAAGCCCGCCCGGGCCCGGCCCGGAACCGGAACCGGCCCGGCCCGGGTCCATCCCTACCTGTACGGCTGTACCGGTTCGGGCCGGGCCACCCGCCTGGGTACCGGGCCGGTCCGGTTCAATTCTGGGTCCTATCCCCCCCCCTATTTCTTAATTGATTGTATGAGTGCTGCATATAAAAAAACTTCTAGTGCATATATTTGAAATATGAACTACATTTGAGAATTGAGAAAAAAATTACAATATGAAATACATTTTCTAATAAATAATAATATAATATATAATAATCAGTCGGAATTTCCGGCACCGTCGGTTGTTGTTTCCTCTTTGCCTTTGTCACATGACTTAATATGTCTTATGGGAGTCCCATATCTTTGTGAAATCCCCAAACTACAAATTTTCTTGCACCACTGGCAAGTTGCGGACCACATCCCGGTCTTCGGGTCCTATTTATCAAAATTATTTTTCATAAGGGCATATTGACTTTTCACCTTAAAAACGGTAGATATAAGGGAAAAGGGTCAGATAAGCCCTCGAATTTACATAAAAAGGTCAAATAAGTTCTTATATAGGAGGCTTTGTCCGGCCGTCGCCATTTGGGGCGGTTCTTGGTGGAGTTTATTGATGAAATGTTTTGAGCATGAAATACATTTCTAATTTCTAATAAATTATAAATTTACAATCAATCGGAATCTCCGCGCTCGTCGGTTGTTGTTTCCTCCATAAAGTGTTCGGTGGGGGTGATGCTAAGTTCTTGAGTTCTACGTTCGTCCTTCAACCAATCGTGGTAGCAAACAAGCGTCTCAAGAGAGTTTGTGCTCAATTTCGTTCTATAATCCGTTAGGATTTGCCGACCACACTAAATTCCTGTTCCCCTGCAACTTTTGAAACTGGCATTGATAGTACTTGCTTAGCCATCTTTGATAAAATTGGGAATGTCCTTTCTTTTTCCTTCCACCACTTTAGAACGTCAAAGTCCTCGTGTTCGTCATAATCAACAGGATATGTTAGGTATAAAGTTAGCTCGTTAACTGAGCTTTGTTCAAAAGGAGTTGATTTACTTTTTTTTAAATAAGATTCCCAAATGTAGATTTAAAAAATGATTTTTCTTTAGATGAAGATGTTTGTGTCGAGGGAGGGAGTGCGTCGGCTGACAGGGGCAGAGCCAGGGCACTGGGCCGGACTAGGCCGGTACAAAGAATATTTTTATAAAAAAAATAGACAAAATTTTTTACCTTAAAAATTAAGTCATTTTTAAAATTTAGGGTGGGCCATGGCCTAGGTTGGCCCATCCCTAGCTCCATCCATGCGTCGGCATATTGTGCATGAAGCTCATTAAATAATTGATACAATAAATTACTAACCTCGTTGTATTCTTGTTTAGGATCTATGGGGTTATCTTCATACATAGGAAAATCACCAAAAAAAGAAGCATAACAGAATTCTAGACATTGTGATAAAGAAGCAAGTCTATAACGCGGATCAAGAATAACGAGTGATTTAGACTGGTTTCTTCTTTAGCCATGAGTTTTGTGTGATTCAGGTGAGCGTGTGGTATGTTTTTTCTGCATTTTCATCGGTATAATTGAATTGTTGAATTTTCGGTGTTCATGGTTGGCAAAACTTTTTCAAACGTGTTGTTTTGAGGCCTCAATTACTAGCTCTCCACTTGGACCACCGCTTCGCTGTGGGAAAAACCGATGATTCTGACAATTTAGGCTCGGTATGGTTTCCCTTTGTTGGTTGTTGGTCAAATCATTTCTCCCTTTCCGGTGGCTGGTGAAGCCGAATCTCTTATTTGTTATTTTTTTTATTTGGAGTAGCATGTGCAACAAGACTCTTAGAATTAAAATACATTATTGCGGGTTAGCGATCTCAAAGGATTCATGAATTTTTTCCATTCAAAGTCTCACCCCATCAGCCCATTGTAACCTCAGGCTATTCAATTCATTCACTTGTTTCTTTGCTATCAGATGAATAAATTAATTTTTAAAAAAAATAATACTTTTGCATAAATGTGATCAGTAATTTTATGTTTGTGTACATCAACAACAACAACATCCAAGCATTAATCCCAAGTGATATCGATGCCAAAAAGAGAATACAGACAAAAAGAAAATAAATAAATAAAACAATTAAGATAAAGATAAATAAATATAAGATAATAATAACATAAGAATAGAAAAAAGATAAAAGATAAAAAGATAAAAAAAAAGTATAGAAAAGCTAGAAGATAAGAATAACATAAGAACATAAAAAGATAAAGAAGATAAACGATAAAAAGAAAAAGAGAGAGGAAAGATAGAAAAGACATCAATCATCCACACGATTGTGCGTCCTCTCCACTTTGCTTTCTCCAAAGTCATACTCTCATCCAACCCAATAAGACGCATACCACTTCTGATTCATCTAATGTTATGTTTGTGTGAGTATAAAAATAGGGAAAATTATAGAAAACATAAATGTGGTTTAGGCTGTTTTCAGATAGAAGCACGTGTTTGTTTAACAAACTGAGACATGTGTCTCAATTCCTTTATCACAACTGGGACATGGCGTCTAACGCCGTTAGAAAAATTAACCATGATTTTCAAATTAAAAGAAAAATATTGGGAGGTGCGCCTGATCAAGAAGATCAACAAACTATCGTTCTCTTTGGATTTTTCGGTTCTATTTGGATTATTTTTTAAAAACAAATTCGCTAATATCACTTTATTGTGGACTTTCTAGAGACAAGGTGGATGGAAATGCCCCAACTATTAATTTCGGCTCTATTAACTTTTCTGACGGCGTTAGACGTTATGCCCCAACTATGATAACAGAATTGAAACACATGTCCCACTTTGTTAAAAAAAACACATGCCCCTATATGAAAACGGCACAAACCACATGTACCTTTTCTATATTTTTCTCTAAAAAATATCAACACACACATACACATAAACATGCACGAATGATAGAATTATCACATTTAATAATATATTACACCGACTCATTTAACTTCATAATGTAATAAATATTAGTAAGTAAAGTAACATTTAAAATTATAGTTTTTAATATCTCAATCTACAAGTAGTAGCTTTCTTCGATTAAAGTTAAAAGTACATACAACTTTTATAAACTTAAAATAATAAAACAAAATAAAATGTTCGATGAACCTAGACGCCTTGGACGGCCAAATAAGCGCTTTAGGCGGGCAATTGGGCGGCTGACTAATACGCCCAGACGTCAAACCAACTATTCGGGGTGCCCTCCTAGTGCCTAGGTGGGGACTAGTCGGGTGCCTATAGCGTTTTTTAGAATAATAATGAATAAAAGTATTAAATATTTGTTCTGTTCACTTTTTAGTTGTGCACTTCCAATTTCTCGTTTGCCAATGCACAACTTTGATTATTAATATATTTAATTCACTATTTAAATAAAATCATATATATTTTAAAAAATTTAATGCATTCGTTAATAAAATATAGTCAAAGTAGAATACGTGAATAATGTAAAATTTCTAATGTTGCAATTATTTAGGAACGGAGGTACTATAATTATACTAGTCATCTAATACTAGTATAGTTGTACATTATATACGTTTAACATAATTACATTATAATTTTGTAATACTTACGTAGTATTATACTACATATATTATTATATTATATTATTTATAGTTAAGTATATACTACATAATTAAGCATAGAGGTCAAATACAAACTCTTCTTAATTTACAAACTTTAAACTCGTCTTGGCTATTTGATGAGTTGATCTAAACACTATAAAGCCATGATGGCATTTTTGTAATAAAATCTAGCTTTTTTAGGATGCAACTCTTTGGACGTTAATATGTAACTACTATTTTATGTTTGAATAATATGGAACACTTTGAACTTCAATATGCAATACAAATAACGTAAAGATGTGTCGTCAAACGTTTTCACAATAAGCTCAATTTGTATCAGATCTCCCCCCATAATGAAAGTACTAAATATAATTGTCATAGTCACATTTATATCATTTTTAAAAAAATAGTCACATTTAGGCAGTCATATTTTTATTTAATATTTATTTTGTGTTTGTTTTACATTTTTATCATAAATAAAATTATGTTATTAATTTTATACTACGTATTTTAATTATAAGTGAAATATGAATTGTATTAAAACAAAGCAAGGGTAGAATTGGAAAGCTAGTCCTATTTAGAGAATTTTTAAGTTATGGTCCTATTTTGGCAATTTAAGTTTGATTTAGTCCCTTTTGAGGAATTCTCCCATTTTTATACTAACATTTTTTTTACCAGTATAAAAAATGTAGTCACATTTATATTAAAATTAGCGTTATCACGCGCAAAGTACGAGAGTCAATGCCCAACAATACAATTTGAACATTAATAATCTTAATAGTAATTTATACTGGAACAACAACATTTCACATTAAAATCTCAAGTTTAACATAACTTGAAACATGCATGTGTCACCAATCAAATGACTTGATATTCGAATAAACTATTCACGGTTATGGTGTATGTAATTGGTAGTCACTAGATATAATAATCATTTTCCATTGACATTGGTCCTTGAACAAATTAATTAAGATTGTTGATGAATCCATATCTACCATAAGTTTATAAGAACATAAATACTACTAATAAATTGCGTGAACTATGTGGTCCTTTGACTTTGATGGGTATTGTGAAAGACAACTTAAGCGAATTAGGTGTTGTGATGGATTACATTGAGGGAGTGTTATACTTATTTGAGTAGTATTGCACTTAAAAATAATGTAAAGCTTATTTGAAATCTCAACGTGCTAGTTTTGCGCTTTTCTTATAAAATTATCTATTCATTGGAGTAGTACTTAATAATTAATTAATATAATTCTTAGATTTAGAAATGAATTAAAGACATTGAGTAGAAAAGTCTTGAATGCGTTTTTCAATACATACATTACATCATAGTATAAAAAATATATATATTTTTCGTTTAAAACATTTAAACACTGGTTATTAGCAAATTATTTTTCATGCATATTAATTTTTAAGAAAAATTGAGTTTACCTAATTTGGGTTTAGCTCTGTCTTTCCAAAGAAGTATGAATGACAAGATATATTAAAAAAAAAAGACAAGCATTTTGGTGGGAAATAGCTGACCCTTGTCGTTATATATTACGTATCTTTATATCTACCTCTATATACAAAGAGGTGGAAAAGCTGGTGGTTTTCCCGCCTAAAGTTCCGGGTCAAGAAACGGGTCAAATTATGGTTGGATGGGTCGTCCGTGCTATTGATGTCTGTGGCTATTAATGGAACACACAACCAATTAAAAATGCCAGGAAAGTCACATTGGGGATTGGAATTGGTCCACCCAAGAGCATCTTGCAGTAAATTAATGCAAAGCTTACACCGGTGGGCGTAGCTCAACTGGTAGCGAGGGAGTGCCACAAGAGTTAGGTCTCGGGTTCGAATCCCGACAACTGTGATAAGGGGTTACTATGCTGAAAAATGCATAGGGCCTCTGCAAGTACCGGGGACAGAGCCTCACTCTCAATCTGTCAGATTGTGATTATAGTCCAATTTACATCCTCCCATCATGCCGTCCGGTCGGTGTTGGGGGGCCCTCAAGGATGGGGTGTCATCCTTTTTTTCATGCAAAGCTTACTTTATTTGCAAAATATCTTTTCCCATTCAAATAAGTTTGACTTACTGATTTTCAAAAATGGTAAATATGCATAGATCCACGGTTTATTGAGACTTCCAAGTTATTGGATTGGACAACCCGAGGATTGTCTAGATTACAACAAAGAGTCGTTCTAATTTATTGTTTGATGCTCTTTACTGGTCAAATGTTGAATCCCACATTTATTGTTGTAGAATTAAGTTTTTTGAATTGATATGTCGTATTGTTCAATAAAAGAAAAGTAAACAATGTGTTGTGTCACGCCTCGGACCTGCCCGGACACGTCAACAACCCGCCGTACAATACGAATAGTCAACCACAGTCAAACACATCCATATTATACAAGGCGTCTCGAATATCATTCACACGTAAGCCATCCATAAACAACATAATAAGCAATCGAATACGTAGCGGAAAACATAGTTTGAAAACAAATGCCACACGTGGCAAACAGAGCACGCAGGCTCTATAGTAAAATATTCATGAGTATGTTTATTAATGTTTAAAAACAGAATGGAGGAAGCACGAACCAAGTCTTCCCTCCTAGATGATCTCTTGAGCAACGAGCACAGGAAGCAAGCTCTAGCCTCAACCTGAAAAATGGTAGTGGGACGCCCCCGAAGGGGCAGCACTCTATAGGGCTATAAAGTGCTGGTGTGGATGACATCTAATAGATATACAAGAAGTATTTCAAACACAAGACCCTCAAATAGGGTGATAATATAATCTAGGTCGTAACCCCAAGTTGCCCATTTTCAAAATATACTTACTTTATACATATAAAGTCAAGTAGTCGACCCGTAGGCCCAAGGTTTGTTTACCAAACATAGCCCAAACCCCGTGACCCCTAGTCACAACAATACATAGGGTTCAACCCTAACACATATGTTTGCATTCTCGAGTCCAACTCGACTACATCACCATGCACCTTATTTAACACAAGTTAACTACTCCACCGTGCATTTCTTGAGTCCAACTCAACTACATCACCATGCACAACAATCACCCCATCATGTCTACCCAATGCAATTCTATGAGCACGGGCTCAAGTACATCTCCTTACATTGGCATAGACCCCAATTCCTAAGCACTCGCTATGCCTAGAATTGTAATATCAATAATCTATTTTGGGACATCCTTACGGACTGCCCAACCATGGTCTTAGCATCACATTACATCAAATTTGTCACTTGCATCACAATCAAGTACATCAATTACAATCAAATCCTTAGATTCGATTCCTTAACAATTACAACAATCATTAACTAGTATTTCAATACTATTAAGATTATTCTTATCCATCATATATTCCATTTGTAAAACCCTACATATTTAGAGATATGTAGCAGCAACTTAATCATCCAATATAATACATAAATAATCATTTATGTATCTACACAATTCACACATGTGTAAAATGCCTATTTCACACAATAGTTCATTTAACTCCATTTTTATCAATACTTTACCAAATCATTTCCCATTTCATTCTTTGAAAAATAGATCAATATTCCATCAACAATTTATCATCATAATCCATGGAAAACATGATTTAGGCATTTAGGTAATCTTATGCTTAACCTACAAGTTGTAAGCAACTAGATGTCGATCCTCACCTCAATTGAGCTTTAAAACCTTCCTTCTCGATCCAATGACCAAAGCCTCGGCCAAGGAAGCTTGAGAACTGATTCCTTGCTTAGAAATGAGTGTCAAACAGCCTCCTAAAAGTCCTAGTTCAACCCTTAATCGTTGGTACGAAAATAGCCCCTAGAATGAGTGTTTTCCGGCTAACTCGTTTCCTAGTTTTCCAAGATTTGCTCTAGGTTAGTATCTAACCTTTACATAAATAATAATAACTTTATAAGGACAAATTATACACTTGGAGTGGTGTATAATAGTTCCACCAATCTTTCATATCATTTGGAAAATAAAAGGAAAGGTTTTGGATTCAAACTTACTTTGAATACAAAACTGTATTCTGCGAGGTAGCTTCTGCCTTCGGTGATTTTGGAGCCTTACTCTACTCCGATTGATGCAAACCAGACCTTCACGGATTCCTCGTCTTGAGAGCTTTCTTTTGGTATCTTATACGCCTCAATTGGACGAGTGGATATCGAGTTATGGCTCAAACAGTCAGTTCTACGCACTGAAGAATGAACCTGCGGACTGCTCTCTTCCCTCCTTCTCTCTTGGGTTGTGTGGATACTTTTGCTCTCTTATCTCCTTTGGGGTTCGAATGGGGTGTAGGGGGGAGTGTATAGGGGACCGTAAACATGCTAAGAGAGCATGTGGCTCACAAAAGAACATGGGAGATATTTGGTTTGCAATCAAATATGGGGTGGACCTCCCCCTTTTGTTTTTCTTGGAGTTTTTTGTGCATGTGAGCCAAGAGTCCGCCCCATATAGTCATCTCACCTATTTTCCTTTGTTTTGCAGGTACCAAGTCCATGTGGAATGGTTCCCAATTGATCCCATTCAACTTGGGGTCCAAAATATCTACCAATACTTCCAAAAATGGGAAAATGGGTCCTATTGTTTTATCTTTTGCTAAAAATGTCTTTTGTACTCATTCTAATTTATTTAGAACAAGTCAACTTCCTTCATCACATTATTGACCTCCAATATATGTAGGATCATCTCAATAATTTACTTGATGGATATCATAGAAGGAAAATCATACTCCCATTATTTAGCTCAATAATGTCAAGGATGGAGCTATGAGCATTTGTATTCTTCTCTAATCATCCTACCACTTATTTTGACATTTGTCATACATATTATTGGGCTACTAGCCGTGTGGGTCACTCCCGAGTGGGTCTAGGACGCCGCTCTCGAAGACTTGCTATTTTTAGCAGGTTGGGCCCAAAATAATGTTTGGGCCGCCCGACCTTCCTCAAATTGTCTTGAAAGGTTAAGTAACATTATTTAGATAATGTTGTGCTCTTTTATTCATTAATAAAGTCCAAATAAGTATTTGCAAGCCCGTCACTAATATACGAGTTCGAACAGTACAATAATCGATCATCAATTACGTAAAACATCAATCGTTTTACAATTGTTTGGGAATCGGAAGTTCAATACATAAACTTTGAAATTTTAATTGAATTTTTCAAGGACGTTCGGGTGCGGTGTCACATGTTGTCTATTCAGATATCATGACATCCAAACCACTTGAAATTGGAGTATAAATACGTCCAGATTTAATAATCTGGCACCACAACGACACTCTCATTCTCTCAACATCACAATGCAATTGCATACAACCAATACGAAGGTGATGTCTCATTCAAATTTAAAGATTATGGTTGTAATTCCCTTGAAGTTCCACTGCATTCCTGGGGTGTGTAGACAATAATAGAGGTTCTTTTCCATGGTGAAAAGGTACATTATGAGATTCTTAAAACTCTTTTAAAAGGGATGCAAATAGACTTTCAAATGTATTTTGCAGGGACATACTCATGTTGCAACCAGGGGCGGAGCCAGGATTGGGGAGGGAGGGGGGCCGAGATAAGTACAACCGAAACAAAAAATGTAATGTTAATATCAAATGATGTATTGATACTCATCAAAAATTTCGAAACACATTATTCCTAGTATGATATTTAGAACTTCTCTCTTGCACATCATGGAAACCATGAAAATTATATTAATTGAATTATATATATAAAAAGTCTTAAAGTATTGCCACTAAAATTATCAATATGTTATGATGAGATACATATTTAAATTCTCGGAGTAATAGTTTAATTAAAAGGTGCATTTTGTGCAATAGAAAGGGTTAAAATAGCTCGTTTCCCGGTTTTAACTCTAAAATGTTTAATGTAAGTATAAAAATCTATTTACAAACGTTGATACTAACTTTTTGAATTTAAAAGTTGTAAGTGTTTTCTTAAGAAAATACATCCCTTATAGTTCAATTCCAAATTTCCCCTATCTTTTTTTAAACGAAATTTCCCCTATCTAGATTACATGAATAAAGTCATTTACAACTCAAGTTTAACTTTAAATTTACCTCCTGTTTAGTTTTACATCCCACAAAATGAACTAAAAGTCTATAAACGTTATACTAAAAATTACGACATGACATTTGCTAAAAAAGTTATTGTGAAATGGGGCCAAGTAGAAAAACTAAGCAATACTAGTACTAAAAAAATTGAAATCTGGGAGGGGCCATGGCCCCCTTGACCTTAAACATCCCTCCGTCCCTGGTTGCAACCGATAATAAATTACAAACTACTTATTGGTGAGACTACTCAATCTAGATAACCAGTCTCTATAATTACTTTTTTATCATATTCTCCGTCCTTCGTAGAGAAAATTATCATTGATAAGACTAAAACTATGCATGGTACCAGTATCAATTTTTTCGTATTTTATAGTTTACTGCTGCCTTCATTAATTAGTCCAACCAATAACTTTGAAAACTGTCTTTCCTAGTTTCTCGGCATATGATATGCACGACACATACTACGTATATGGTAACCGTTTTTATTGTTATTATTATTATTATTATTATTACTCCGTAGTAATTGTTTTTAATATTATTAGTATTATTGCTTTCAAAAAAAAAATATTATTAGTATTATTATTATACTTTTCCAGAACCCGCTTTTATTGCTTAATACTTCTCCATTTCTAAAGCAATTGGAACTCCTAAAAATAATGAAGGGAATTGGGGAATATATGTACGTGCTACATATTATACTGCCCTCCTACACAATTGCTGCCCTCTTACAAATCACTTCAATTTTATGTTTAATGTCTATTACTCTATTTCATATATGGATCATATATAAAATATAAGGATTTACTCACTAATAGAATAATCGATTTATTGTCTTTAAGTTACTGCCTATGTCATTAACGTAACTGTCATCATACATATTTACTGTCATTTGTTTGTTTACATCCTATATAGTGCATTAATTTATTGCCCATTGTTTTACTGTCCACTAAAATATAAGGATTTACTGACTAATAGAATAATTGATTTATTGTCTTTAAGTTACTGCCTATGTCATTAACTGTCATCAAACATATTTAATGTCATTTGTGTGTTTACATCCTATATAGTGCATTAATTTATTGCCCACTGTTTTACTGTCCTCTAATTACTGCCAATGCTCACCACCCTTCAACATTTATCACTTCCTCAATTATCGATGCATGCATTAGGGTGTATTAATTACTATTCCTAAAAACAAGGAATTAGTTCATATATGTTAAAGAGCATTATCCGTTATTTATTATAATAATTCCAGCCGGTCCATGTATCACGTATATGTGATGTTTAGTTTAGTCATATTTAAGATTAAAAACATATATAGTCATACTCTCGGAAAAGTCAGTTTTAGTAATACTAAGGTATTTTTCCCTACTTTGTAACAGTTTGGCAACTGCAGATGTCATTGGCAAGATGTGGGCGTTAGTGTGTTCCTCAAACTTAGATTCATGGCAAGAGCAAGCGAGTTTTGAAGATCCAACATTTTTGGGGGAACCAAATCAGATGCACACTTTAGGTTATCTACCTCTATATAAAAAGAGGTGGATACCATCTGATTTTCTCGCCCAAAGTCCAAGTGTAAATGGGTCAGGTCAGAAGACAGGGTCGGGCTTAAGGTTTGGTCAAGGGAGTTTATTGGGGTCATTAAATACACTACCTTCGGTCTATTCGAAAACTGAACAAGAAATATAACATGAGGGACTGGTGAAGTGACATTATATTCAATATAGCTCAAAAAATCTTTTTATCTAAATGGTTACTTTATTTCAGAGCAAAAATAGCAAGGACGCAATTAATGCAAACAGTCCAAATAGCAAGGACCAATAATTTTTTAAGTGGGGCCCCATTTTGAAATGTAAATGATAACAGGCCTTAGGGTTGGTTTGCAACTGCTTTTAAAAAAGCACTTCTCAGCTTATGGCTTTAAAAAAGCACTTATTTTCCCAAACACTACAACTTTTATTTTTCTCGGCTTCCGCGTCAAAAGTGCTTTTACTTTTTCTACTACACAAAAAGCACTTATTTTACCAAACACTACCCACTTTTACTTTTCAAAATCACTTTTTTCTCAAACACTATCAACTTTTATTTAATCACTTCTCCTCATTTCATTAAAAAAAACACTTTTTTAAAAGCAGAAGCTGTTGCAAACAGACCCTTAATCACCGTTTTGAAATGGACATGATAATTTTATGTATTACTCCGTAATTAATTAGAGAAGCATGGATTTCGTAGTGTCCTGTAAAGCTAAAAACGAAAGGATTTTTAAAAGAAAAAATGTTGGCTTTCGTACTTGCAAGTATTTTATAAGATCAAATCAATTCAATTCTTAAGCAAAAAAAAAACATTTTTATTATTTAAAATATATTAGTTGAGCACGATTGATATATGGCCTGTTTTATCCAGAACTCGGTTAAGTTCACTTGCACACAACCAAGGTTTATAAGCAGGCCTTAATGCAGTTTGAATTAATATACAATAATATTAATAGGTATTCATTAATTAAAGATGTAGGGAGTTTATAGTTATTAGTAAAACTATAAAAGAAAGCAGATTTGAGCTTGGCTTTATACTTATACAGTCTTTATAATTGACTTAAGTATTTATTTATAGGGAAAAAGTACAAATATATCCCTGTAATATGGGTGTGAGAACCAATATACCTCTCTTCTATTTTTTTTGAACAAATATGCCATTGAACTTTTAAAAAGGTGCAAAAATATCTCTCATGTTCTTATAAAGGGGAAAATTAATCCTTATTAAATTTAAGTTAATAAAATAAATTTCAAAAATCACCAAATATAAATTATAAATTCCAAATTTAAAAAACAAAAAATTTTAAAAATGTAAGAGTGTCTAATTTTCTCATTATAGTTTTTATATCAGAATTTAATATTGTTTAAGCATGGAATATTATTTCAAAATTTTACTATATGTTTAAGATTCTTTCGAAATGGTGCAACATATGTTTTGCAATGTGGAGAAAAATTAATTTTTTGCATTCTTTGCACTATAAAATTACATATTTTGAAATAATATTTTATACTTAAAATATTAAATTATGATATAAAACAATAAAGGGAGAAATGGACACAATTACATTTTTAAAATTTTTATTTTTTAATTTTGATTTATTAATTTATTTTTGGTCTTTTTTGAAATTTCTTTGATTAATTTAAAGTCAATAAGGATTCATTTGCTCCTTTATAAAAAATGAGGGATATTTTTGCACCTTTTTAAAAGTTCAGAGGTATATTTGTTCGAAAAAATAGAACAAGGGTATATTTGTTCCTCCACCTTTATTTATACATTCTGTATTTAAAATTTATTTCTATATTTATATATTTAAGTCATTCCAAGGCCTGTAGAAAAATTCCAAGGTGCAATTAAGTGAATATTGTCATAGTACTAGAATTTGATTAAAACAATGTACATTTATAAACAATAAAGCATGAATTAATTACCTCCAAGTGCATAAAAGTATAATTTTCTTAAAACTAAACACTTATGCTTTCAAAATTCAGTATTTGGCAGAACGTGTGGCATTGGTATTCCATATCTCATTTTCAGGAGCCAGGAGTATGTGTATGTGTAACTTATGCGCATCATATTTACTCTTCCGACCATACCTGGCGTATACAGGGAACGGCTAGGCCTTCGTTGGAGGTTGTGGTTCATCCTCGAGCAAGCAAAGAACCAGATTAAGATCAGGCAGAAAGATGGAAATACGAAGTGTTTCACATGCAAATGTTTACGGAGAGCACCGAATTACCCAATGACCCTCCGAGTCTCCGTTGTGGATTATTTATGGCGGATAGCATGTATATGGAGAGCGTGGCTTAGCTAGACAGGATCCGTGATTAAAGATGGATGATTGAGTACGAAGAGAAGAATTGAAGGTTGGGAGTGAAAGTAGAAGATGAGAGAGTGAGAGACCCGAGACGGAGAGCATCGTATTAACCAATGTCTCTCCTCAGGTGGCGAAGATGAGAAAAGCATTGATCGTACTACAAATGTTATTTACAAAGAAGTCTTTCGAAATGTTTAGTCTTTTTAGATCTCATTGTATGCTCAAATGTTTACAAACAAGTGTTTCAAAAGTTAGTTATAAATTTTAGTCTTTATTGTGTGTTTCGTTTTTCCCTCTTCTCCTAATATATAAATCGTACCTATTATTAGTGATAACTATAGTTTCCTCTATAATTATTATATATTGTTCATATATATTACATGCGTATAAAAAAATATCATCTGCTCATGCACTAATAACGTTAATAAATAAGATTATATAACTATTCGATAATATAGACCGCGCATCGCGCGGGTGAAGATCTAGTTACGTATAATACTCCGTATAGAGTATACAGAAAATTTCCACCCAAAAAGAGGACAAAATTGTGAATTGGATTTTCCTATAAAGTTACGGTGCCGAATGGTGAAATTGCACCGAAAATTTGTTATTAGGAGATTGATATGGATTCTCATCACTTATATCCATTTTCCAAACTAATAAATGCATGTTGTAAAAAAAACTAATAAATGCATAATATTTAGTTTAGAAATATGTGTATTGATTTTCCCTAGAACGTGTTTTCAACCATGAGTGTAAAAAATGTTTAATTAATTGATGCAATAATAATATTTACTTTATCAATTGACTACTTGGTATAGTACAATTCATTTACTCAAGATAATATAAGCGTTTGAATTTAGTCGATTGCTATGATAAATGAAGTAATAGAATATATGTTTAAATATGTTTTTAGTCACTGCAAATATAGCACATTTTGTTTTACATCCATGCAAAACTATTTTGTTGTTTTGCATCCTTGAAGTTTATGTTGATTTTTTTAGTTCACCATTGAATGATACCAACTTCCGTTTGACAACAAAATGAACCTCACTAAAAGGTTTCATTAAATCCTTTGTCATGTTATTCAAAAAGTATTTCATTCTATTTATAGAAAGTTTTTAATACATATTTTAAAAATGTGAATAATTAGTTTTTAATAGATTTGTGCATTCGGTAACAATTTTTTTCCCAAGTTGAGTAGTTCCGGAGTAGGATATGGACTAAAAGTAAAAGGGAAAATGGAAACTAATAATCCAACCTTTTAGAATAATCCAACCTTTGCACCTCATCTTCATTCATTGGTCCCTGGTCGGTTAATGACCTACTATTCCAAGTTATTTTCTTATCTTTGCAAAATATTATCTTTCTGAAAGATGAGATTTATGGTATAATGATTTGCAAAGATAAGAAAATAGCTTGGAATAGCAGGTCATCAACCGGTCAGGGACCAGTGAATGAAGATGAGGTGCAAAGGTTGGATTATTCATGAATAACCAAAAGGTTGGATTATTGTAAGAAGACCGCTAAAAGGTTGGATTATTAGTTTCCATTTTCCCAAAGTAAAATAGCGCATATTACAAGGATGAAAAACAAAAAAAAATTATATTGTAAATGGACCTAAAACAAAGTGTTTCATATTTGCAAGTTTTAAAAACATATTCAAGCCCTAGAATATAGTAAGATTTTTCAAATTTACTATTCATGTATTCAACAAATTTAAATTTTATTACTTGATTTTTGGAATCAATATCATCATAGATATGTATGAGGCTTGTACTACGAGTGTCCGAACTATTGTACGGAGGACCACAGAGTTCCCTATTACTATCGGAGTGTACCAAGATCGGCTCTGAGTCCTTTCTTATTTGCTATAGTCATGGATGAACTTACGAAGTCAATTCAAGAAGATATACCGTGGTGCATGATGTTTGCCGACAATATTGTATTGATTGATGAGACACAAATCGGGTGTTAAAGCAAAATTGGAAGTATGGCGACAAACATTGGAGACCAATGGTTTCAGACTAAGCCAAAGCAGGATTGCGTATATGGAGTGCAAGTTTGGTGGAGGTAGAGGTAGTAGCAACAGTGGGATTACTCTTGATGATACACTACAAAAAAACATCGAAATAGGCACGGATTGGGTGAGTTTGGCACGGACTGTAACTTATTTTTGGCACAGCGCCGTGCCAAATAGCCGGTGACAAAACGACTTTGGCACGGAATTCGGCACAGATTTAACGCATCCGTGCCAAACCTGTGCCAAATACCCTACGAATTTTGGCATATCCGTGCCAAAGCTCCGTGCCAAATCCGTGCCGAAATCGTAGTTTTTTTGTAGTGATAATGAGATACCGGTGTGTGATATGTTTCGTTACTTGGGCTCCATAATTAAGAAGGATGGTGAATTAGACAGAGATGTATCCCATAGAATCAGAGCTGGGTAGATGAAATGGAAGAGTGCATCAAGATTTCTATGCGATCGAGGTATGGCAACTAGACTAAAAGTTAAATTTTATCGAACAACAATTAGGCCTGCATTATGTATGGCGTAGAGTGTTGGACGGTGAAACAATATCACATTCAAAAGATGAGTGTGGCAGAGATGCGTATGTTGCGTTGGATGTGTGGACATACCAAAAAGATCGCTTGAGGAATGAGATAATCAGGCAAAACGTGAGAGTAGCACCTGTAGAAGATAAGATGTAGGAGTCTCGTTTGCAGTGGTTTGGGCATGTGCGTAGAAGACCGAGTGATGCACCTGTCAGATGAATTGAGGGGTGGGGAGAAGAGACAGAGATGAGAGAGTGTGGAAGACCTAAACAGACTTAGATTAGAGGAATCATAACTGATATATGTCTTCTTGGGTTGGATGATAGTATGACTTTGGAGAGAGCAAAGTGGGGGGGGCACATTCGTGTGTACGATTGATTGATCTTTTTTCCCTCTCTCGTTTTCATTTATCGTTTATCTTATTTGTCTTTTTATGTTCTTATGTTATTTTTACCTTCTAGCCTTTTTATGTTCTTTTATCTTTTAATCTTTTATCTTTCTTATATTCTTATGTTATTGTTATCTTATATTTATTTATCTTTATCTTATTCGTTTTATCCTTTTTTTCTTCTTGTTTGTCTTCTCTTTTTGGCATCGATATGATGGATCGACTCATGTATGCTGATCCCAAAATCTTTTGGGATTAAAGTTTGGATGTTGTTGTTGCTGTTGTTGATTTTTGGAATCAATCTTTACCTTTATCTTTATATAATACGAAGTACGTAGTATAAAGTAGCAAAGTCGCTACATGTTTTGGACGGGGATCGGAATTGCCGCTCATTGAAGGGAAATTCTTTAAATTAATTTGCCTTGGTAAAAATAAATATTCTCGTCCATAAAGGGGTGTTTGGATGTAGTTCTTAAAACCGTTTCTACTACTTTAGGGAGCAGAAACAGATATGAGAGTGTTTGGATGAAAGTGCAAAAGTACTTCCAGGTGCTCTAAATTTCTCCTAGAAACAGTTTTTTAGAAATTGTGGAAGACCAACTTCTAGAAAACTGATTTTGATTCTACTTTTACTTTTAGAAAAGAAGCAAAAGTAGAATCAATTCCAAACACCCCTAGTTGCTATATGTTGTGGATGGAAAATTGTCGCCCTTTAGAATTGTAGCACAAGTTTTCATTTTTGGCTTGCATACACTTGAAGGAAAGAGTTGCCACTCAAAGTTATAACCAATTAAACAATAAATCATTTTCATATCTACGCCACATGTGAAGTTATTATCATATAACTGTGTTAATTTTATTTAATTTTTTGTGAAATAACAAATTATCACTAAATAAAATATGTAGTTGTAACTACTTTGTTGGTAAACCCAAATAAGTAAAATTTGTTGCATCGATTAAGGGGTGTTTGGAACCGATTCTGATTCTGCTTCTTTTTTAAAGCAAAAGCAGAATCAGAATCAGTTTTCCGAAGTTGGTCTCCCCCAACTTCTAAAAAAACTAAAATCTATGAGTATATTAGAGCACCAAAATCACTTCTGCACTTTCACCCAAACACTCCGACTTCTGCTTCTACTCTCTGAAGGAGCAGAAGCAGTTTTAAGAATAAGATCCAAACACCCCCTAATTGTTCAACACTACTATTAGTATATAATCAAAATTACAATATATACTCTTATTAATTTTTAATAGCTAAATTGCATATTATATATCATCATAATAAAAGTTAATTTCAAACAATAGGTTAACCTAGGATGTTTTTTTGGAATGTTTTCAATCCCAGGCCAGATATGACCAGACTAGACTTAAACGTATGATCTGGTCTGGCTTGTTTGTCTGGTCTGGTCTAGTAGTGTCTGGTTTGTGTGTATTTTATAACTATCCAATTCCGGTGTGGTGTGGTCTTGTCTGGTCTGATATGTTTAAGTCTGGTCTGGTCTGAGATTGAAAACAATCAAAAAGAAAACATCATACTCTAGATGTACTCTGGTAGGGCCGCACGAGTTTTTCGTCTAGTTATGTAATATTGACAACATTGTGTAGACATGTTCCAGTAATTAATTAATTTGGCGAATTCATTCAACAAAGCAAATGATTTAAATTTTCAAATTGGCATTTTTAAGATTTGGAGCCCGTTTGATCTCTTTTTCGGCTCATCAGGCTTATCAGCCATCTTTTTCACCAAACACGTAACTTTTGATTTCGCGCGCTGAATTTTGTAATAAGCAGAAAAAGTGAGGCCGAAGTTACTTTTCTGGCTGTATTGGCTAAAATTGTTGCAGATGCTCATTCTAGATATTTTTTCATATAGTTTTTTTATTTAATTTATTAATAACAAATATTTTAAATATAATTTTTTCATGAATCAGCAGAATCAGCCAATTCAGCCAATTTTAGTGTCACCAAATGGGCTCTTGGTTTGGTTGTTCTACTGTTTTTTGGGAACTAAAATGTCATTTCCGGTAATGGCGACATTATCCCTAAAACCAAAAGGTACGGTGACCTAATTAACTGTTTAGGCAGGAATAGAAGGATTTGAAGCGTGAGAAGCCGGGGATGTTTAGGCAAGAAGTATGATTTGATTAGGGCTGAGCATATCCGTTTTTGATTCGGTTTTTATCGGTTTCGGTTCGGTTTGGAACGGGTTGGAAGAATTAATACCAAACAAAAACCATACTATTTTTCGGTTTGGTTCGGTTCAGTTTAGTTCGGTTTGGATTTGTTAATTTTTAATAATATATGAAGGTTTTTTTGAATTTCTTTAGTGCTGTTTTGTTCGGTTTTTATCGATTTCGGTTCGGTTTAATACAATTTGAAAGAAATAGTATCAAACTTAAACCAAATTGCATACGATCCGGTTGCGGTTCAGTTTAGTTCGGTTTGGTACGATTCAGTTCGGTTAAACCAAACCGTTATGTCCACCCCTAAATTTGATAATGTTTAAGCATAATGTGGGACGAAGGGAGTATTGGTTTTAAAAATAGATACAAAACCAAATTATCGAATATGTTTTCATAGTATAATTGGATAATGTTTAAGCATAGTTATACGTCAAAATTAACAAACTTTTTGTTACTGGACAAAGAGGATTGTATACTATTATCGTATATGGGAACGATGATATTTTAGCACACAGGTCCGGGCCGGAGTATAATGATGGTTCAGGTAGGTTGGAGCTTGGCGGCGGCGCATAGGAAATGGTTGACGATGTGGTTGAATTGGGAGGCGTCCTCCAGCTGCGGTATATGTGAGGTCTTCTTCATTATGTCCAGACGACTCTTCTTCCCCAGAACCCTGCAAGTACAATCATATCAAATTCTACTTAATCCGTTCCGGCCAATTTTTTTATTGAACAATTTCATATTGAGATAATAATAATATAATAATAATAATAATATCATAATAGCGCTACAGTCATACCCCTCTCTATTTTTTCCTCTCCATTTTTTTTTCACTCTACATCTTTCCTTAAAAATAATAATTAAATCCCTTCTTTTTTATTTTTCCCTACCCTACTGTTTCCCCATCTCTCTCAGTATTTCTCCTACTGGAGAACCGGTAACTGGAGAGGATCAAAATTCATAGCGCTAAATATGATTAAATAATCTCTAAATGCATAAATAAGACTATGTTATTTATATTCCTATTTTACCTATCATAACTTAATAGGATAATTATATTTTAATTTGTAAAAAAATTAAAAATATTTTAACTTATTCAAAAATTGTTAAAAATTGTCTGAAAATAATTTTCTGAAAATCGTAAAAAATTGTATGATAAAATAATATTTAAATAACTTTTACAGAAAATCGTAAAATATTGTCTGAAAAATCGTGAAAAATTGTCTGAAAATTAAATTAATTATATTTAAAATATTTTAACAATGTCACCTCTGATCAGAGAAAAAGATGCCATTTTGTGTAAAAGCTGTCATTTATTGTCTGAAAATGAAACGAAGATGGCATTTTTATTCTTTGAAAATGTCAAAATTTTCTCAAAACCTACCATTAAAATGGTATTTCTAACACATGTTGGCAATTTTTTCCTGTGGTCAGAGATGACAGTGTTGGGAGGTTGTTGAGGCGGCAGAAGAGGCATGCATTTTTTTTATTTTTTAATTTTTTTTCTCGTTTTTTGAAGTTTTTTATTTTGTAATTTTATATTTTTCTATATTTTTATTTTTGTTAATTTTATTTAATAGTAGTATATATTTTTCATTTTTTTTTTAATTTTTTTACATTTTTTATATAAATAATTTAATGTTATTATTTTTATGTTTTATTTATTAATGAAATATGAATTGTATCAAAACATAGAAAGAGTTGGATTGGAAAGCTAGTCCTATTTAAGGAATTAGGTGGTATAAAGTTATAGTCCTATTTGGCAATTAAAGTTTCATTTAGTTCAATTCTATTCGGGAATTCTCCCTTTAATATTGATAAAAGACAGCCTTAATAATATTGATAAAAGACAGCCCTTGCGGTAGAACAATTTTGGAGCCTTAATGAAAAGGGAATTTGACTTTGCACCCCACATTTTGGGTGATATTGGACTTTGCACCCCATTTTGAAAAAACATTGTTGTGCATCCCATTCCACTTAAAATTCCTTTGATTTTTCATCCCACGTAGAATTTTTTCTTCACAAAATGTTATATGTTAGGGTGTAAAGTCAAAGTTTTTTTAAAAATAAGGTGCAAAGTCCAATATGAGATTACCCTAATGAAATTGAGTTGTTATTTAAAAAAATTGAAATCGAGTAGTTCTTTGAAAGTAACGGGAGCACAATAAATTCTGGTACACTACGTATAATAAATTAATTAATAATATAGTCATTGACTCATTGACAACGATCACTTGATTCCTAAGATTTTATGAATTTCACTGCTGGTGGTTGCAACCGTGATAGTAGTAGCGGTAGCGGTGGATGGAGTGATAGGGCAGTGTTGGATTAGTGGGGGATCACTACAAAAAAACAGCGTTATAGTCACGGATTTTAGTCACGGACTTCGTCCGTGACTAGTTTAGTCACGGTCTAGTCACGGACTAGTCACGGAAATTTTAAAAAAAAAATAGTCACGGTCAGGACCGTGACTATGACCGTGACTAATGTTAGTCACGGTCGTGGGCCGTGACTTAATTCCTCCGATAGGCCCATTTCCGTTTCCGGCGCAGTTTTTTTTATTCCGACGACTTAGTCACGGCCAAATCCGTGACTATGCCCGTGACTATAATTAAAATTTAATTTTTTTCAACTCCCTTAGTTAATTCGCAACGGCATTATGTACGGATAATTGTAGTCACGGTCATATCCGTGACTAGTTCCGTGACTATGTTGATTAACACGTCATTTACACGTAATTAACACGTGTTGGACGCGTATTGGACACGGTTTTGCTTAGTGACGGACAAATCCGTGACTAAGTCCGTGACTAAATTTTTTATATATGCAGGAGCAGCTCATTCATTCAACAGAACCACACCAATTCATTCCCAGTATATACAGTATCCGTAGATCGAAGGATGTAGTCTATCTTCTATCATTTTCCCTGTTTATGCAGATAAGGTATGTTATTTGAATTATAATTTTTATTTAGAATTAGTTGGTTCAATTTAAATTATTAAAACTATTAAATTAGTGAGGTTGTTAATTAATTAACAACATGTTTTAACTATAAGCGTAGTAATGTCATAAATTAGAATTAGTTAAACTTTTAGGTTTATAAATTAAAATAATTTAATTAAAATTAGTTAGATAAATGTGGTTTAAAACGTAATGATGTTTATGTTTAGTGAAATTAGTTCAAATAACGTACGTTAGTAATGTGTTAATTAAGTGAATTGTGAATTGTTATTGTGAATTGTGTATTGCTTATTAATTCAAATAACTTTATATACATGTTCAAATTATTGGGTTGAATTTGGTCATATTATTTAATTTAGTGAATTGTTAATTGTGTATTACTAATAAGATTAAATGTCATTAACGTAATAATTTAGTGTAGGTTTAAACGTAGGTTTACAAAAATAATTTAATTAAAATTCGTTTGGTAAACGTAGGTTTGAACGTAGCTATTGATGTGTTAATTAAGTTAAATTAGGTAGCTAAACGTAAGTTTAAACGTAGTGATGCATTAAAAGGGGACGGAATGAACTAGTTAAATTTAGTTAAATTTAACTAAATAAATTAGTTAGATTTAATTAAACGTATGTTTAATATAGTGAAATTATCTGCATTATTGTGCATTAGGGGACATATATTTTGTGCATAACTAAGATGTGAATTCTGTGCATTTCATTTAAAAAAAAGTGAAAATTAGTTGATTATATTTAGTGAAATAAATTACTTAAAATTGTGTGCATTGCATTTCATCTAATTTTTTATTATAATATTCAGGCATAATGTATAAAAAAAATAGAAGTTGGATGTATGATAAAGATGCGGTATTGTACGGAATGCAATCAAATTTTCTCGAGGGAGTCGGAGAATTTATTGAATTTGCACTTGAACATCCGGCTTATATGAGTGGTGATAAAATAAGATGTCCATGTTCAAAGTGTAAAAATCTCAAATTTAAAGACCCACACGAAGTTGGGTATGATTTGTACGCGGTCGGTTTTGTTCCCAATTATTATAATTGGACTTCTCACGGCGAACCTTTAGATCCATCTGTTATACCACAAACGGTAGGTTCGTCTCGTTACGTCCCTCCAGAGATGAGTGCGTGGGGAGACCGTGCTGAAATGAGGTGGGACCAACAAATGGTATATGACGCATACGGTGTACCGTCTCAATTCAACCCCCCACAACCACCTAACGACCCCCCTGAAGCCTCAACCTCGTATCAACCAGATGCGGATGAAAATCCGACATTTTATCAACCTTATGTGGATGAAGGTTTGGCTGAGAGATTTCAGGATGTTCTAAAAGCTGTCGACCAACCCCTGTATGCTGATTGTGAGGGATACTCTCAGCTTTCCGCTGTTACTGAGTTCATGAACATAAAAGCCGAATACAGTCTCCCTGAAACTTGCATGAATAGAGTCTTGCAGTCAGTAGGAGGGATGCTACCGCGAGATCATACCCTTCCCGATTCATATTACCACATGAAGCAGTTAATGTCTAAGTTGGGGCTACCTTGTGTTGAAATTGATGCGTGCCCGGAAGGATGTATGTTGTTCTGGAAGGAGGATGAGGCACTTGAGTTCTGCAAGTTCTGTGGTGGAGACAGATACAAACCTGTTCGTCAAAATAAAATGAAACCACGACATAGGTCTGCACTGTCTAAACTGTATTACCTCCCAATAGCTCCTCGACTGCAAAGGATGTACGCTTCGACTGCTACTGCGAAACACATGACATGGCATGTTGAGCACGAAACCAACGAGGGTATGATGGCTCACCCTTCGGACTGTGAAGCCTGGAGACACTTTGACCGCTGTCATCCTCAGTTTGCTATGGAGCCACGAAATGTGCGGCTGGGATTGTGCTCAGATGGATTTGCTCCTTTTGGCAGGTTTGGCAAGAACTATTCATGTTGGCCGGTCATGTTAACACCTTACAATCTCCCTCCCGACATGTGCATGAAAAGTCATTTCATCTTTTTGTCTTTAATTTGTCCGGGTTCCAAGGATCCTGGGCGAAAGATAGACATTTATCTCCAACCCCTTATCGAGGAGATGAAAGAACTGTGGGCCGTTGGGACACCAACTTATGATGTTTCATCAGATAAAATGTTTATCATGAAAGCTGCCATCATTTGGACCATTAGCGACTTCCCTGCCTATGGCATGCTTTCGGGATGGAGCACACACGGTCTGATGGGATGTCCGATATGCATGGAGAAATCAGGTGCCAACTGGCTCAGTTACAGCAAAAAAGGAAGTTACTTTGATTGTCACCGCAAGTTTCTCCCGGAAAGGCACCGATATCGAAAGGACAAGAAGTCTTTCATTAGAGGCAGAGCGGTACGAGAGAGCCCACCCCCGAGATTGACCGGTGAAGAAATTTATAACCGGGTTCGACGTTTCCCTACGGCTATGGAAGAGCCAAACCAAGAGCCATATGGGTATTGTGATACCCATAAGTGGACAAAGAGGAGCATATTCTGGGAGTTGCCTTATTGGAAAGACCTTCTCATCCGTCACAATTTAGATGTCATGCACACCGAGAAGAACGTCTTTGACAATATATTTAACACGGTGATGGATTTGAAAGGCAAAACTAAAGACGGTCTTGCAGCTAGGAAAGATATGACTATTTGGTGTGATAGACCCGAACTTTCTGTTGATCTAG